GTCAGGCTCCGCCAATGTTAAATGCTCTAAGACGCTACCCTGCATGGAGGGCCCTATATAAGTGTATGTTGTTGTTGTTAAAGAGAAAATTCTAAAGTGATTTGTGATGCTTCTACATTGTAGGGTATTATTAAATGCAAGAATTATTACGATAAGACTACTTTGTTTCTTCATTGATCAGATGAGTTCAATGTTCTGTTTACTCATGGGAATATTCCTATCACAAAGGCACTCATCACCTCTTCTGTGTATTACTCATAGAGTGGTTCTCTGGATTGTTACACAATTAATCTTGATTGTTTGTGCTATTGACAGTACATTTAGTTTTCTTAAAACAAATTCCTTATGCTCTTTTGTATATTCACACTGCAATTTTGTGCCTCAGTAAAACTGAATGAACTTTGTTCTCTTGTGAATCCATCAGTTGTGTTATTAAAGGGTTACAATCAAAGTTTTGTTCCTTTATAAACTGCCAATGCCAAGAAACAGTAGTAATTACCCACATAGGAATGTAAAGTTCACTCGGATAAATATTTGAACAAAGCACCATAGATGCTACTGTTTTTGAGCCTAACGGTAGTAATACTGTGTATAATGCCAACTGCTGTCCGAAAACCTGCATTTTTAAGTAATCCCTCCACTGTGTGCACATTATAACGTTATGGAATTTTATGTATTCTATGGAATTTTAGAAAAAATTTATAAGACACTGCTGTGCGCAATTTGCTACCGCGTTTCACCCACAAAATACACAGTCAATTCACTTTACAGTATATTCTGTGAAGCGCTTTGAGACGTCTCAAAGACGTGATAAGACACTATATCAAATGCAAGGATTATTATTATGATTATGGAAAATCTAAGTATTCTGCAGCTTTGCTCCCCTTGGATTAGCTCTGATCAGAATAGAGTTCCATAAAGTTCTCAGAATTCAAACCATTCACTTACATGGAAGATCTTAACCTTACTTGGAAGAACACTGTAGTGCTCTAACTTTTTCACAGACACAATACTTGGGGCAAATACTGGACACCAACTGCTATCTGCTCACACTGCACTTCTCTATCACCACTTTGCTCAGCTGACTTTGGCCTTGTGCACGTTGATTGCCCTTCCAGTCCACCGGTGGCCGTGCTTTCTCTGTGTCAATCCCACCACTTTGCCGCCTCTTTGCCCTGATGATGATTGCGCCTGAAGATCTTCCTCTCCCGACCTCTCTGCTCGGCATCAAACTGCACCATGGTTCAGTGCTCCAAGATGCTATGCTGGGTGAAGGATGCTATGTAAATGCAAGTTGTTGTTGTACTTCTATAATAATAAATAATAATAATAATCCTTGCATTTGATATAGCGCTTTTCACATCTTCTAGACGTCTCATAGCGCTTCACAGAATATACTGTAAAGTGAATTGACCGTATATTTGTGGGCGAAATGTGGCAACCAATTGCGCACAGCAGTGTCCCACAAACAGTCGTGGATTGAAAATGATCAATTTATTATTGGTTTGTTTTGGAGGGATTATTATTAGGCGTGTGGAATAAGGAAACTTGCCCAAGGTTTCTCCCTGCCTGGAATTGAACCCAGGTGTCTCGCTTGCAAGGCGAGTGCTCTAACCACTGAGCTACAGGACTCCACAAACTTCTGTCTTCTTGGAAGCTCCATTCCATTCCTATAGTAGGAATTAATTGTGTGCAGGAAACATTTGGGGGCATTAATCAAAAATCACATACGTTTTCTTTCTTTATCAACACAAGAGTATTTTTAATTTTAGAATTGAAACCAATGTGGGTCAGAGTGTAATATGTTGTTCTTTTGGCTGTTCTTTCACTTGTGGAACCTTTGGTTTGAATCAAATCCAAAGAAATGGCATGAATATCTATTGATTGTAAGTTTCTACAGGGACTGATTTTGAGTGGGGTATGAATGAGCAGGTAGTTGAGTCTCAACTCAGTGTCCTCAGCCCAAAGTCCACTATATCTGCTACAAAAAGTTTTTCTCACTCAGAAGCTAGAAGAATCCTTGGTGTAGGAAGTGAAAATGTCACACCGGGGGCTGTTTTTCATGAAACGTCAAACTCTCCCCAGCTAATCCAAGGAGAGCAAGGCTACAGAATAATTAGATTTTCCATAATCATAATAATAATAATCCTTACATTTGATATAGGGTCTTATCACATCTTTGAGGAGTCTCAAAGCGTTTCACAGAATATACTGTAAAAAGAAAAAAGAAATAAAGAACTTCACATGAATCTGAGGATCTCAAATGTTTTGCAGGATATTCTCCTTTTTGGCAATTTTTCATATACTCTTTTCCTATTCCCAGTTGTCTGCAGATTTGTGTCTTCATTTATATCTATTTTGTGCTTAAAGTTCTGTGGATTTATTTCTTCACACAGAGGGTAGTCACTAGTCAGAATGGGTTCCCGGGAAGGGTAGTGGAGGCCAGGAGGCTGGACAGGTTATAATAATCTACAATAAAAACAAACAACAAATGTTCTTTGTGTAGCACTTTCATGTCGGGAGGACGTCCCAAGGCGCTGGATAGTCAGAAAAAGATAATGGGGTTCATACTCTGGAAGAATGAGATCAAATGACCTGAAGGGCCTTCATCATCGAAACTGTTTTAGTGAATTTCTTCTGCCGTTTCTAATAAAGTGACAGGCAAGGTTATCCTTACTTGTAATGCATAATACATTCTGGAAAGAAGCTGCTGTATTTGGCAAAGTTCTTGATGCCAAATACCATTCCTGTGTACAGATATTGGAAAGAGTCAGTTATAAAACTGGAGCAGGTCTCGAAATCTGGAACTATTTGTGAATGTAATTTTATAAAAGTGAACAAAATACAGGAAGCTGTGATTTAGAAAGAACAGCCAAGCACTTTATCCCTTATATTGGCATGCTGGCGTTGCATTCATTTGCAGAAACTATTAGACAAACTTTCAATGGGAACTTTGATTCTTTAAACTGGCAGTGTAGAGAGAGAGAAAGACAGAGACTGTACCAGAAACATAAAGCCACAAGTGCAATCTGGTCTGGGGCCTTTGAGCTATCATCTACATAATGATATTAAAACTTTACTTATTTATAATTCATTATTATGTCAAAACTTCTCAAAGCACTTTATAGTAATTACTGTCACTTGTAGTGACTGTTTATACAGACCAACATGCCAGCTATTTGTGCCAGCAAAGTTCCACAAATCCACAAGGCTATCTACGACTTTTTGTGGGACACTGCTGTGCGCAATTGGCTGCCATGTTTCGCCCACAAAATATACAGTCAATTCACTTTACAGTATATTCTGTGAAGCGCTTTGAGACGTCTCAAAGACGTGATAAGGCGCTATATCAAATGCAAGGATGATTATTATTATTAAGGGTGGGTGAATGACTGAATCACCTGAGGATTGTAGTTGTTGATTGTTGGCAGGACACCAACAGAACCTCTTCTTTTTAAATAGTGTCACACGATCTTTGATATCCACCTGAACAGGCAATTAAGACAATGGTTTTACTATCTCATCAGAAAGACATCACCTTGGCCTTCACGGATATCTGCTACTGCACTTGAGTGTCAGCCTCGACTATGAGCTCAAGTAGAGACCCGGCACTTGAACCCATCACCTTATTACTCATACACAAGAGTACCACGAACTGAGCCAGGCTGACGCACGTAATAAACATGGAGTCCTGTAGCTCAGTGGTTAGAGCACTTGCTTTGCAAGCGAGAGACCTGAGTTCAATTCCAGGCAGAGGGCGAAACCTTGGGCAAGTTTCCTTACTCCACACACCTAATAATATTCCCTCCAAAAACCAAAAACAATAATAAATTGGTCATTTTCAATCTACGACTGTTTGTGGGACATTGTGTGCGCAATTGGCTGCCGCGTTCGCCCACAAATATACAGTCAATTCACTTTACAGTGTTTTCTGTGAAGCGCTTTGGGACGTCCTCCCGACGTGAAAAGCGCTATATCAAATGCAAGGATTATTATTATTATTATGTACTTTTAAATTTCACATCATGGCTCTCATTGGTTTATTGAAAGACGAAGACTAAGTGGAACTTCAGACCAATCTTAAATAGGATTCCACTTTGTCTTAGCTTGTAAGACAACAACTTGCATTTATGCAGAGTCCTTCACTCAGGATAGCTCTCAGAACCTTTGTCTTAACATTTAAAATTGTATAGAGTTGTGGGAAACTCTTAAATTCTGTCTTAATTTGGATGCCGAATTTTTGGCTCTTCTTAAATTAGGTCTGAATTTAAGCATCTTCCACAATTTTGTGTATCCTTGAAATTTTAAGACAAAATAGGCTTGTGTTGTTTATTTCTAGGTAGAATTTCAGGCTTTCTAATTGATCTGATTGTCAGTTTGTATAATGAAATTCAGATGAATTTTGTGCACAGCTTAAAAGTATTATCACATAAGTTATATTTGGTTTCCTTCTAAAACAACGGTTAATATGTATAGAAAGTAAAAGCTGCAATTGGCAAGACATTTATTGATGTAAATGTTTAAATAACTTCACTTTGTTGCTATGCTGTAGATTATATGAAAATACTCTAACCTATTATTGAACACATTTACTGCAGGAGCCATTACGTATGCTGGACTGGATCTAATATGTCATATGTCTGAAGTTCCTTGTAAGGCAGAAGTAGTATTGTATGTTGACATGACAGTATTATGTTGACATGCTAACCCATGCACGTTAACATGGAGCAAGTTTGAGGTATAGGCAAGAGCAACATACAATACTGAACAATGCAACAGTGATGAAGTGTATCCTAATTCCTTCAATGAGTTGCATCTTTTTTAAAATTCTCTTATCATAGTGAAAAGTTACAATTCACTCTATTGTTCATTCTACTTATTTTCAATTCCACCCCCAAATGAACCCATATTCAGTCATTTTGTTTTTTATATAAAAAATAACTGTGAGTTCATTTTTAAGATATTTGTCAGCATTTGATTAATATTAGATTCTTTTATAGACTTTTTTAGCACCTATCAATCAAGTTTTCCCAGCGGAAGAAGACAATAAGAAGGATGTGGAAGATAACTGTAAGTAGAACTCATGAACCCTGTGAATTAGTAGAACAGCTATCTACTCTAATCCTGTCTCCCATTAATATCGTTAACCTTCACCTATTTGTTGAATTCCCTTTATGTCTAATTCGATCGCTTTGCGATGTCCTCTCAACGTAAAAGTTGCTCTATAAAATGTAAAGTTGTTGTTGTTGAAATAATTCACTCAGCTTCAATGGCTACTCGGTCGCAATATATTATACGTATTCACATAACTGTGCAAAACATTTCTTGACAGACGTACTGAGAGATCGATGGTCACAACATTGCTGTAGGTTTTTCACTTTGTAGTTCATGTCTGAGGTTGTTCTGTAATTAGATTTTATGATATACTGTATTAAGCAATGGCAGCCTCATTGTGTTTACCTTCAGCGAGCATATTTTGGATGTTTGTTTGTTACGGCTGGGCTTTCAGTAATTTGATTTGTTCTTTGAAGCACTTCCTTTGTGAAGTGACATCAATGACACTTCCTGCGCATAGCACACTTATGCAGTACACAGGAAGTGATGCAGGTGCTTTTCTGTGTGTTCGCACAATAAACAGGAAATAGCGTCAACAGCGACCTGATAACTCAGAGGTCAGACATTTTAGGAAACTGGCTAGTCAGTACCAGAAGCCACTTAGTAAACCCACTATAAGCGAGGTAGTGTAATAATGAGGAGCACTATAAAGGGGCTCCCCTGTAACAGGAATGACTAAGATGATATTTCTGACCATTATTAGTTATCAGCACTCCTTTCTGTTTAACTTTTTCCTTGATCAGAAGGTGAATCCTGGGCAATAACAATACATGTTCCAAACCAATGAGTGAAATAAATTAGTTCCACATGAACTATAAACAGACTTAGCACTTGCTAAATTCAAAAGGCTTCTTTTGACACTGACCAATGGCTTTATTGACTGGGTCAAGAGGGTGGGGATGATGGGGAGGAAAGAAAACAGTGCTGCTCAATGTAGATGCATAAATCCTCAGATGTTTGAGTTCTGTAGTTGTACAGCAGTGACTTATGCCATTTATCAGTAAGGGCCCACAGCCACCAGAAAAAAATGATCTGTGTTGAACCTGCTAAGATCCTAACGGAGATAATAACTGACACAAAGACACAAGTATTCTCTCCAGATGATAACAGCTTTGCTTTTATTGCCAGCAATCCACAATGTGTTATTCCTGCAACACGGCTGATGAGAATTGATATTCCAAGCTGCATGCAGTTGTCTTTGTTTCCTGACAGAATACATTTGGTCAGGTGTGATGCTGGTGCTCAGCCTTGGATGGCCTCCTTTGTCTGCGTATAATAATCTGTTGTATCCAGACATTGGCTCCATTCAGGGAACTGCTGAAGCATTGACTATTTATTCATGTTGTCCAGTGAACATCTGCTAAACGTGGAACTAACGCTGTCTGCTCTTTCTGCATCTTCTTTCAGGTTCTCTTATGTATTTAAATGAAGCTACTCTGCTGAACAATGTGCGAGTACGCTACAACAAAGACAAAATCTACGTAAGCTTTTTTGAAATTGTACAAGGGTCTCAGCCAGTATAATACACAAAGCTTATTTATAAATAAGAATAAAAATTTTACAGTGCAATTAAAATCGTATGATTTCGGAGATTTATTACCTGCTCAACTAAGATTTGTGTCTACAAGGTTTGTTGGCTTCTTCAGGCATTGCTGTGGTGCATGACATTCACTAGAGCATTACATGACATTCACTTGAGCAATGCATTGCATAGGTATACTCTACAGAAGAGACCTGAACAGTACATTAAGTGGTTTTCCTAACAGTGCTTCTAAATGCCCCCAGGAGGTACTCTTCCCACAAACCTCCAGCCTTTTCTATGTTTATTGAGGTAATGCGTTAATCCGCTAGTTCTGTAGTTCTTTGGGGAGCCAGGTGCTTATAAGATATAATGAGAAAGAAAAGTCAAGCATGACGAAAGGCCATTTGTCACACTGAAACTCATCTGTTTTCGTGTTCTATTTAAAAGTCGTACGGTATCCAGTTTCTTCAATATTTCTTCCTCTGTTGCCTCACTTGGCAGATCTATCCATCTCTCTCTCTGTAATTGCTCAATACGTAGCTGATCTATGGCGTTCTGGGGTAGTGTTGTGAAGCACCCCAACAAGTTATCCTGTGTGAAGCGAGCTATATTTAATGCAAGTTGTTGTAATACATTTTGAAATCTTAGGATTTTATACATGGTGTTGTCACAAACATCCATGACTGTCAATTTTATCTACATTAAATCATTTTACAAAGGCTGCTATTTAATTTATGAAATGTGAATATTGAAAAATTCTAAAAGTGAAAAGATAGGATTCCCCCCCCCCCTCCCCACGAGGTGACTAATTTTTGGATTTCTGCATTCTGAAAAGAATTTGTGTGATACTTGATTGAATAGCCACAGGGTTTTACAGTAATCACCAACAGACCTGCTGTCTCTCCAGACTTCATTTTCCTCCTTTGTTTTGAAACCCGACTGGCTTCCTCCCTTTAATGAGCTTGTTGCTCGGATAACTTTACCGAACATCTTGTCCTCCTGCTATCATGTTGCCCAATTGTGGTTAATTAGGCTGCTTGGAATTACAGGGCTCCCCTTGCCATCTGTACCAGGGGATGGCAGCTGGGGAACAGAGACCATCTTCTGGAGGTATTCAGAGGCACTGCTGCTAAGAGTTGGGAACACCAATTAATATGTAATAAAAACAGAAGTTGCTGGGAACACGCAGCAGGTCAGGCAGCATCTACGGAGAGAGGATAATTAGTTAACATTTCAGGCCAGAACTAAATTTGTAGTATTTGTTTCTCTTCTGTAGATATGTAATTTTGTTGTTGTTATTACCTTTGTAATGCATTGCTTGGTCCAAGCCAGTCTCCAGCTATCACCGAGTGTCACTCAGATTACAGCATGGGGGTTGAAGTAATTGTAATTAGGTTACATGAGGAGCAATCCAAATTTCAGGTATAGTTATCACATTGGCCTGTGCTGTGATGACACGCCACCCTTGATGTTGCCACACAAAGAAGTTTTCACTGTGAAATCGTTCACGTCAAGTTGCCATACTACAACATAGCTTTTGCTGTGTTAAACTGTTTCCTAATTTAGAAAATTATGCTCTTTAGAAATTTTAAAGCCTTGTAAATATTGGTTGTTATGACTAATGAATCTGTGGAGGTTTCTAAACTGGAAGTCCGTGCTTGAGTTAAGGAAATGAATCAGCTTGTTTTACTTGCCATGTTTGCCTTTCCTTTGCAGACTTGTGTAGCCAATATCCTGATTGCAGTGAACCCTTACTTTGACATTCCAAAACTGTACAACTCAGAGACCATTAAAAAATACCGGGGGAAATCCCTGGGTACATTGCCACCACATGTCTACGCTATCGGTGAGTGGCTTTGTCCTTTGCTGTGATACATGTTTCATTAAAACCCACTGGTTTCTACTGCTCATTGAGCTAGTTGACATTTTACCTTTCTTTCGCGTGGTCAAAGAGTTTTGAAAAGGACAATGTTTTACTGGTTAATTTGGTTTAAAAATATATTATTGGCAGATTGAAACAGCACAAAAACTGACGAATATTGATTTTTACTTTTTTTTATCGGTTCCTACTCTTAAGTAATAAAAAAAATCCGAAAATAAGATTATAGTTTTGTTCTTTCTAATAAAAAAAGCAAGAATTATCTTCTATTGAAAATTACACTTTAGTGTATAGTGTGGTACCTGATCTGTTTAAAGATTGCTTTCCTTGCTATTCTAATTCCAGCCGATAAGGCATATCGTGACATGAAGGTGCATAAAATGAGTCAGTCCATCATTGTGTCAGGAGAATCTGGTGCAGGGAAAACCGAGAATACCAAGTTTGTCCTTCGGTATGTGTGCTTTTTTATTTGATTAAAAATATAAGTTCTGGAGTAAGCTGTCTGCCCAGCTAGGATCGCTCTTCCTATTGGAGCGTTGACTTTCAGAACATTTCTACATCTCAACATTTGCTTTCGGTTACTGCCTGTCTTTGACAGACGTGTTCAGTTCAGACCCAGGAAATCTGCTTACTTTGCCTTTCCCTTGGTGAGTATCCACATTTCAAGAGATGATGTTCATTTAATAAATCTTGGAAGGTTGAAGGGCTAAAGATGACCGATAAGCATTGAAGCCTACAACTAACTTGTCAGTACTCAGTCCACTATTTTAATTGCCAGACATGACCAGACCTCTCTCTTTATTTTGTGCTTTCTCATGGTAGGTCATTGCAGGCTGATTTTCAGTGTGTTGCAACTACAGTCTTGTTGGCAACTTCAGTGGCTGTTTATTTCCTTTTTTCCACCTGTCAAATTCTCTACAGGTTCCAGAGAAGCAGAGATTCACTTTATTTTTCTCATTTTGACAGGTACTTAACTGAATCATACGGAACTGGACAAGACATTGACGAAAGGATTGTGGAGGGTATGCAAGTTCAAGTACACATGCTACTTCTGGCAAAACATTCTCTCTATTTCTATCTGGAATTCGATACAAATTGAGCATCGTATTGAGCTAGATTCATCCTTTGGGGACACTGGGCCATGTCTGTGGCCTTGAATAGACAGCAATGTTGAAAATGGGCAATTTGTGTTCAAGTGACATGCTGTGTAGAACAAATCAAGTTTGTTAGCTAGGCAGCCTGAGCAATAACCATTTTAAAAACAGTTATTGAATTCTCTGGAAAGGAAAATAAAGTTGTATACATTGTTTTCTTCCCAGAAAACCTATTGTTAAATTCTAGAAGCTCTGTTCGTGTCACACTATAGTTTGAGTGAAGCTTTTACCAAAAAATAATTCTTTGTGTCAGAATATAGTTCAATACAGGAATTATAATTATCATCAAATCCTACGATTATTGTATATATTTACAATATATGGATCCATACAGAAAGAACAAATATATACACTACCTCCCCATATTATATATCAAATATAATATATAATGGGGTGTAGTATCCTGTTCCTGATCACCCTTTAGTCAGTAAATCAGAATTGATATTGGAAAAGGATGTGCTTGAGATATTGCAGATTATTTACTCTCTTTTATTTGTAAACAGCAAATCCATTACTTGAAGCCTTTGGAAACGCCAAAACCGTGCGAAATAACAACAGTAGTCGTTTTGGAAAGTTTGTAGAGATCCATTTCAACGAGAAGGTAACTTTTTGAACGTGACTTTTCAATGCAATGTTTCCATTTGTCACAGATTTCCCTTACTTTTTGTTCCCCTCTTTTCCTTGCAGAATGCTGTCGTCGGAGGATTTGTATCTCATTACCTGCTGGAGAAATCCCGAATTTGTATGCAGGGCAAAGAAGAAAGAAATTACCATATCTTTTATAGGCTGTGTGCAGGTGCTCCTGAAGACATTAGGCAAAAGTTTCACTTGACCTCCCCCGATCACTTCCGGGTGAGTTTGGTGCCATAGGGCCTAGGGGTCCAATTCTGTGCTCTATTTTTTTTAACCCTTTCAAGTGGTTTCACTTCTTAAACTTGCTGAGGTGAGTTTATCTCTTCACCACTACTCTGTGTTGACATTTCCCCTCAGTTTCTTGGTGCTGGAGTATTATTGGCCCTAGGTCACTGCTATCAGCGTCTGCCTTCATAATGTTCACTTGCAATCGCTCTGTGTGTGAAAGCGGTTTTTCAAAAGCTGCTGGCAAATGTGAACATAAATAAGGGGGAATGAAAGGTGGCAACTTGGTTTATTACTCTTCCTATTATCCATGCAATAAAATATTCAGGGGTGGGATGGAAGATTATTCCACAAATAAATGATAAACGAAGAACTATCCTACAAGATATCCAGATAGACACCACTAGTTTTAAATTCCTTGGTAGTTCAGGTCTGACGTTATCCTATTAGCACATTTTCTTTTAACCTGAACTAAATCCAAGTTGTCACCTTTATATATCACTGAATTTTACATTGCAACTTATGGAAGATGGAATGCTTGCGTGGAAGTGCTGCAGCTAAATACAGGGACTACCCAGAACATACGAATACTGTTTGCGCTTTTTTTTAGAAAAATGGGTTAGAATCTCCTGCCCCAGTGATTTAACTTTTCCTCGTTACAATTTGGAAGCTGTTTCAAGACCCATTTGATTGACTTAAAAGCAACCTTGACGATTTGGAAAATTTTGGATAGGATTAATCATTGCCACACCAAAATGTGTCGTCCTGCAATATATGAGACAAAGAACCGCAGAGCATTTCAAGTGTTCCACTTCCATAATATAAATTGTAAAAGGAAATGATACATTCAGCCTGTTTATTGATATTTTTCTGTAATAATCTTTGTGTAATTGTAATAACTCGTCTTGGCTTCCCACACTTACATCATCCTAAATTGTTGTCGGTGTTTATGAATGGAATAATAAAATGAATGCTAATTTTCCCCCATTTCCTGTGCCCCCTCTCGCATCTTCTCCCCACTTTACTACTCCCCTTTTGTTCTTCCTTTCCAAAATAATACTTAGGGTGGTGGTTGAACTATGATACTGTGAACCAAAGTGCTTTCCGAGAAAAGTTGTGACTAGTAATGCTAACACTAGAGGGCAGTGTTGTACTGTGGTCAGCGATTTTCAGTGGACACAGAGCTATAGTCCAGTCAAAGGCTGATCTACTGATCAGCTTTTTGCACACATTCCATAATGAATTTTTTATTGTGCAATTCCCAACACCTCTCTTTATTTGTGTGAATAATCTACACAGAGGTTATTCCGAACTCCTAAAGAGTCAGTAACGTTGGTATGGTAACTTGTTTTTGTATTGCTTTTCATTCCCGTTTGCGGATCACTTGGCTGGTACACACTTTGGGTTTGCTCCAGACCCGATTGATTTTGGGCAGAGAGTTCATCTGAAGCTTTCAGAAATTTGTAGTATTATCAGGCTTAAACGGGTTATCAGACAAATGCTTTTAATGCATTTGGTCCAAACTGTTGATAACAAATGCCGCAGCTCTCAAAGGAAGCACTTCGGTTCAGAGTCACAACAGTTTCTTAATCAGAGCACCTGTCGTGCTGTTTCTTGGTCATGATTATGTATTTCTTCGTGGTGATCTGTGGCATTTCTTTTACCATGACTTACCTTCATTGGTGCCTCTTCAGAATACTGTGGCAATCACTCACCACGTGGGCTGCTGAGATCAACGTGAATTCTATTTGCCTAATTCTTACAGAGCCAGTGAAAGTTGGTGTTGTAGCATTGCCTCTGAGGCCTAGCCTCCCTTGTTGCTTTTTGACTGATTGGATGCATCAAGTGAGGCTAGGCCGGGCCTTTAATGCCTGGTCTTTGAAGCAGGAACTGAGTAAAGTACTGTGCTCAACATGGCAGGTAGCATTTGGTCGTTCACTTTGAGCATGCTATGAATGTTTTACTAGTTTGAGAATCATTCATAGTATTTTCAAAATTGTATCATTCACTTTCTACAGAAATGATCTTCCATATCATAGCAAGGAATATTTTACAATAAGATTGAAGATAGAAAAGTAAAGAATAGTTTATAAAATGAGGATAGTTTGATACACTTATACAGTGAGGTTACATAACCCATGAATAATAAAGTTGTAAGTGTGTGCTGATCTTGGGTTCACAAGGTCTATCCTGCTGCCTATAGTGTCAATACTTTGATTACATGTCAGTTTCTATTCCCCCCATCAAATAATTTTTGTATGGGAGGTTGCAGAATGGTGTATAGTGGTATGTAGTACCCTAAATTCAATGTATACACACATACACACACACATACACAGATATACATACACTGACTTCAATACACACACGCAGACACACTCACTCAGTGTATCTGAGATTGGGGAAAAAGGCCCAAACCCAAACTCCTCGAAAACATGACATTGTCCCTTAGTGCGCTACACAGTGCGCTAAGGGACATGTTGCAAAATCAAATTATCGTGAATAATTGGGACAAGTTTCACTTTATTTACCAAATCTAGCAATAAAAGATGTTGGACAACATGAGCAACTGAATTTAACAAATTCACAGCTGAAATATTCGCTAAAGTAACCAAGTTAATGGTTGTATTAACTGGCTGGTGCCAATTCAACCTCAATCCCCCCCCAGCCCAATACTCTGATCAATTACTTTCTCCACCCCCCGACCCTGGTGTCAAATATCTCAAATAACCAAATATCGTTGAAAAATAAGGTTTTGTAATGGTCCAGCTTAAATTTTGCTCAAGTTACTATACTTTGTATTTTTGTTAAAATCTCTCTTCCAAAACCCACGTCTTGTTTTCTCACTGTCTGCCTTTGAAACCTTTCTGAGCACATTTCTCTTTGACTAGAGTTTTAGTCAACATCCTTGAATTCTCCCTGCTCAGCCCTTCCTCATGTAAGTCAAGCTGCTATAAAGACAATAGTTATTCAAGGTGAACTCATGGATTATAAAATTCATCCAAGTTCTTTAACTGCTGAAATGTTATGTGTTTTATTATATTCTGTTTGGTTTTAATGCTCGGATGCTGTCTTGTACATCTTACGATAGGTAAATGTGTTTTCTTTTCTCCTTACCTGTTGTTTTTTTCTTACCATTAAACTCATCTTTCTTGTGCTAAATCCATGCTGTAGTATCTGAATCGAGGATGTACCAGATACTTTGCCAACAAGGAGTCGGACAAACGGATTCTACAGAATCGCAAGAGCCCTGAGGTACAGTATCTACACACATCCCCGTCTACACTTGAGTGCTCCATATCATGAGCATCATGTTGATCAGTCATGGTGGATTAACTAAAAGCTCCCTGTTAAAGATGAGACAAATTTAGTGTGATTTTTAAATGTGAATAATTCAGTACCGTGAAAAAGTGGTTTAAAAGAATTAATAGAGCATGAAATGCCCAGTCAGGAAAATTATTTATGGCTGTTCATTTTGGGGGAATCTTGGAATAACTAAACCCATTACTGACTGCTTATTTTTCTTCATTTGCTTAAAAGTGTATGAATAAATAATATCTAGATGTTATTGCCAAGTACGTGTGTTTAGATGAATTGTTGACCCCCTTTCTCCAATTTGTCTTTTGAATTGTATGGAAAAAGTAATGGAAGATGGGCTTACATTTGGAGGAAAAGGGCTGTAATATAGGGTCAGGATGGTCAAGATTGTCTGACTCCCATTTAAGGGTCAGGATGTTAATTCATAATCTGCACATAATAATAATCATTATTTTGGGGAAACCCAGAGAGAATAACCATGCAGACTAGTGTACATTAGTGTTCATTAGGCTAGTCTTGGCCTAGGAATTCAACTCACGAAGGATGGTAGAGGTTATCAAGGATTAGGTTTATCAAATGCAGTGGACTTGCAATGCAAGAATGAGCATAACATTTTGACTCTGAAATTGGGAATGAAAAATTGCTTAAACTCCTTAACCACAAGAAAATTGCCTGTGTTATATTTTGTTACCCAGTATACATGCTGACTTGTACCTCGGCTTTGCTCTGAGCTCGAATCAGCTGGTAGCACTTTCAGGTCTGAGTCAGAGATGGTCGGTTTAAGAACTGCATTGAGATTGTAGCTCAAAGTATAGTCTGACACTGTGCTGCCATACTGGGGGAACCATCTTTAGGATGAGACATTAAACCAATCTGCTTGTTCAGGTTGATAAAGACTCCTTGAGACTATTTGTAGAAAGAGAGTATTCTCTAGTGTCCCTGGTCAACAATCCTCCAGATAAGTTATAATAATATAACAATAATTCTTACATTTGACATAGTGCCTTTCACGTCAGGAGGATGTCTCAAAGCACTTCACAGAATATTCTGTAATGTGTAGTGACTATGTATTGGGAGGCGGATGCAACAGTCAATTTAAGTACAGCAATGTCCCTCAACAAACCATGGAGAGAATGATCAATTTTATTTTGGTAATTGTTGGCCAGGATACAGGGAGAAACAACCTTTTCTTTTCGAATAGTGCCATGGGATATTTAATACCCACCTGAACAGACTAATGAGACCTCAGTTTAACAACTTATCCAAAGGACGGCACCTCAAACAATATAGCACACCTCCAGCACTGCATTGTAGTATCAGCCTAGACTGTGTGAGTTCAAGGTCCTGACTTGTGGCTTGAACCTACAACCTCTGACTCAGAGACGAATGTACCACTAATGGAGCCAGGGCAATACACACAGTTGATATATATTGAAGTGCTCACTATTAATATCAATATATATATGGTGCTTATTACTAATATTGAATAAAATAAAGAACATCCACACTATATTGAGAATGTATTGTACACACATATATCAATAGATCCCATTAGTTTGCTGACCCTAACAGTTCCCTGTTAGGGTCAGCAAACTAATGGGAGTGAGTTACATGGTGTAACTGTACTCCAAGGTAGCATACTGTTTATCACATGCAAGGCAAGTGCATTTAAAATAATGCAAGATGTTTTAATTTTAAATGGAAACTGTATTGATTGGGTGGATTTGCAGTGGGATTTAGTTAGGGTCAGTGTGAGCTGTTTCTCACACAATTAAGTAAATTGTGTAGTTTGCACAAGGATTTGCAAACAGCAAAAATGCCTGGACACAGAAGCGACCACCTGGGAGTGGAAACTTGAGATTGGTGTCCGAGAGAAACATCCGGGTAGGATTGGGTTTCATCATTTACAAATCCTTTGAGAGTCTTACAATTTTGATCCCAGTATGTACCACCATTTGTGATGTCCTCCCCATCAAATACAAAACCATTTTGTGGACTTCACCACGTCACTCATGTTAAAAAGGTATAGTATTAGTTATTTATATGCAGACAGCATTGACTTCAAACAGACCAATTTTATTAAAATATCTGATTTGTTTTCCTTCTTCCGCACCCCCCATCCTTCATTTAATATCAGGAGGAAAAGGTGATCAGTTTTTCCCAATGTATTTGTAGTCTGTATGATGTAAATGTCTGTTGGTAATTCTATTCTCAGACATTTACATCAGTCATGTGTGGTGTGAGCAGTTGTAGTTGCATGCACTAGTATTTGCACCAGAGTTTTTACTTGTATGTATACGTTTTATACCAATGATTCCGGACAGAATTCTATACTTGCAATGGAAGAAATTAGCTTTAGTTCTGTTTAATTGAACCTATATATTCATTTCTTGTCTTATGAAAAGAATATTCTGTTTTAGCATCATACCATCAGGAATGAGACAGGAACAAAATAATGTGAGCATCAGAGATGCTTCCACCAGCAGCAGTACTACTTCAGTCCTGAAACAGCCTTCTTTCAGCTCTAGTTGCTGAGAGCCGTTGTTTTTTGACCTTGGAGTCTCGTTTGCAGTACTTCTTGACAGATTCTCAATAATTAATGGGTAATGTAATGGATTTCTAAAACAATGAATGAGCTAGAGAATGTTTTGAATTTCCAAAGAATTTAATCAGATGTGATTAAGAATGCATTCTTCAGCACACTTGATGCTTTAGAAATTCGGTAATTATATATTTCTTGCTGAGAACTCTTATGAAATTAGGCCCCCATATAACTGTAATGTGTTTTCATTTGCTTTAAGTACAAAATCCCCCAAAGGTCTTGAGTGCCATCTCGTATCTGATGAGATTAGTCCTTGAACCTTACCACCTCTTTTGCGCTCGTGTAATTTAAAATCTGGAGCCTGGTATAGAAGATTGGGAGTTTATACTGTATGTGTGAAAACACATGTTAGGGGATTTGTCTTGCTTCTCTGTTGTGAAATGATCAATAGTTTCCAGTTTAATAACATCACATCTGGAGCAGTTTTCTGCAGAAATTTCCCCATCAGCTGGATTTCATTCAGCAATGAATAGATTTTGTATCTCATCAGCTAAGTGGAATAGACCAAATCTCATTATAAAATTCCTTAAAAAAAACTAATCAGATATAAAAACATAACTGCCCCTTGTCCTTAATCATTCAAAATTGCTGTGACCTCAATTTATTTTTCTGCTATTAATATTAGGGATTCCTCGTCCGATCAGCAGTTTTACATTTGCTTAATGAAGATTCTAGACATGTTAAACAGCGGGCTGTATCCCGCACTTTAATGCAACCAATTAGAATGTCTGAACATGCTTGTAACTGTTGCCTTAGAGGTTATGGCTCATATAATGAGTTAACGTCTGATCAAATTTATCTCTCTCCTTTCTGATGTTCAATGAGAAGTTCTGGATACTTTTACAACAAATGGGAAGACAGAGCGAGAGAGAAAGAGAGGGAATAACTAGTGCTTCGGTCTAACCTGTTCTTGTGCATTCCTGCATTCAAATGTTCTTGCTGAAACCTGTATTACTTTGTCTTGGAAAGGGAAACAGTTCTTCATATTGGACAGTTGCTAAATGAAGAATTGATTCCTGTGTTTCAGAAAGCCTAGCTACAAAATACAGAACATGTTTTTTGGTAAAATGTTTGCATGAATAGATGACTATCTTCATTCATTTTCCTCCATGAACCATGGGTAGACTGGGAATCCCATGAGGGAAATCATTAAGGTCTCCACTCCTTTCTCTCTCGTGTTTGTGTCTCTCTCTTCCATAAGATTTTTATTCCTATATTCTCCCTCCACCATCTTATAATAATCCTTGCATTTGATATAGCGCTTTATCACGTTTTGAGACGTCTTAAAGTGCTTCACAGAATATACTGCAAAGTGTAATATGTGTGTATTTTGTGGATGAAATGTGGCAGCCAATTGCACATGGCGGTGCCCCACAAACAGTCGTGGAGTGAGTGACCAAATTATTATTTTTTATGCCATTTATGCCATCTATTTTTGCTTCTTTTCCTCATTTTAGTAGTTACCCTACTTCCATGATGTACAATCTGTCTAAAAGCTGTGTCTGCATTTAAAATACAATTTACGTTCATATAATGCCTTTCATGTTGGGAGGATGTCTCAAAGCACGCTCATGCTTGAAAAGTTTCTGGAAATTCTTGTTACATTTAGCTGTTTTCCTTGACTGGAAGGATGTCTTTCCGTGAACTCCTAGTTAGTATTTCCTGGTAGGTCTTGTAGGTATGCAACTTCTGACCAAGTTGATGTAAGAGAAAGAGGCTCCAGCTGATAGAACTGAGAGGGAAGGCAAGGTCCTGGTTGTCAGTGCTAAGGGAGGCTGAGTTGCTTCCTACGTCTTTCCCTTCATACCCCACGCTGGTAGAGGAACAGCGTGAAAGAAAAAAAAATAGGTTTGTTACATAAATCAAATCTTACTTCCCTTGAGCTGAGGTCTGCACTGCAGTTGATGTGCAGAATTGAAGGTCACCCTGAACGAACACATATAGAAATCCAAATGATAGAAGGATTAAGGGTCAATTACTTCAATCAAGATTGACGCCTTTCAGTCAGAAGGTTGTGGGTTCAAGCCCCCAAAGTGAACTCATATAATCTTCTTGTCACTCTAATACAATGCTGCTGTGTTGCATGTCAAGAGATGCTGTCCTTCAGATGAGAGGATAAACTGAGGTCCCACCTGCCTATTCTGGTGGATGTTAAGATCCAATGGTATGATTCAAAGGTGAAAGGAGTTTCTGGTCAATAATGCCCCAAATAAAATTGGTCATTCACTTCATGGCTATTTATGGGACTTTGCAGTGTAGAAATTGGCTGCCTACAAAAAAGTCACTATATTTCAAAGTAATTCCCCTCATAATTCCTCTGAAGCATTTTGAGTTATTCTCCTGACATGAAAGATGCTATATCTTATTTATTATTATAGACTGGCCAGGTGGAATGGTGGTAAGAAAGGAGTTTTGGGGATCAAATAATTGAACCCTACCTTGGCATTGGTAGAGCCTTGGCAGGTAACTTATTTTCTAACGTCCAACAGAAATGGGTGCAATACCAGTGTTTCAATGTTCTAGATTGACATTGAGATGTGCTTTATAACCAATTCAGCATTCAATGCCCAAGTTACTTAAATCCATCACATTACATTACACTGACACATGGACAAGAGCACCTTAGGGAATTCTTACTAAAAACAGCAAACAAGAAAGGTGAAAACCTTTCCAAGATCACTTTGCATTATTAGATGTTATCAAACCTTCCTGCTGAACGTGATCAGAAGCTAGACCACCCTGGGGATCTATCATCTCCAGCACAGGAAAGAGAAATGCCACAATATATGACAGATATACATTGAAGACCCTGCCCATGGTACATGGAAAATACTGTTTGAAGGATGGGAAATACTGCACCTAATAGTGAGTAAATCACTCTCAGTTGGTACTTACTTGTTTTAGTTCATGGTGTATGCATGAGAGGTTGGTTTTATTTTGTTTTGGGTGCACATATATTTTGTTTTTGGCATCTCCTGGGCTTGCATGCCTCTTGTTTGTCTCGTGAGACCATAGCGTAGCTTGGTATCAGCTGATGTGTCGGTCTCTTTTCACCATCTCCTTCCAGTGCCTTAAGGAAGGTTCTTTGAAGGACCCACTCTTGGACGACCATGGGGACTTCAACCGCATGTGTGTCGCCATGAAGAAAATTGGCCTGGGAGACGCTGAGAAGTTTGACCTCTTCCGAGTGGTGGCTGGAGTTCTACATCTGGGAAATATTGACTTTGAAGAAGGTGGAAGCACTTCAGGTACAGAAACTCCAGTTCTCGCTGAACAGGAAACTCAATACATTCATGGGGGAGAAGGGAATCAAGAGGTATGGGAGGGGGAAGCAGGAGAGATGGAGGGTCTTGTGGAGTACAAATCTGGCACAGACTAGTTGGATCAAATGGCCTGTTTCAGTGCTGTAACTTTCTATGTAATCCTGTGTAATTTGTACCCTATTCATCTCATATTTGAAAGTTTCCCACTGCTCATCTACTAACTTACCTGCCAATCTTTTTACCCAATTAACTGTTCAGCTCCTGGACAGCTCCACTTCTTGAAATTACCTTTTCCTAGTTGGGCACCATTGCTTTGACTGTTCCTCTCCTTTTCACTTTTTACATCAAATATAACAAAGTTATGGTCACTCTGTAGCACTTTGAGCCTCTAGCTCACCAACTTTACTCCATATAAATATACCCTGCCAAATACAGAGTCGCTGCACTGCACCTACAGGAAAAATCCTGTGAAGCTAAATTTAAAAAAATACTTTTAATATCAAATGATTGTTTGTTTAGAACAACTCATTTGGGGTATTTTCCTAATGAACATTACATTAATGCAGTACCAAGTTAGTGTCAGTATTACTTTGTTTTAATAATGATAAATTATTCAGGTGGATGCGTTCTGAAGAGAAAATCTAGTAAATCTTTGGACCATTGTGCTGAACTGCTTGGGCTGGACGGGGATGACCTGTGCGTTAGTCTAACTACAAGAGTAATGCTGACAACTGCTGGAGGAGCCAAAGGAACAGTTATCAAGTAAGTCCACACCTTTGTACCAAAGGATCCAAAGTCATGTTAAGTGATCTGGCAAATATTTATTATCCTGTGGGATTATTCTATTAACAATGATGTTTTGCATATCTGTGATTAATAACTCGAATTGTAAGTATTCCTCCAGACCCTCCTCCCCCCACAAACAAAATCTGATATAGAGAAATATTTTACCTTTGTTTCAAAAAAGCCATTGTGGAAATTGCTTCCCCCTGAGTTTAAGGAACCTAACCCTGATGTGAACTTCTCACGCCATGAACCAAACTTTCTGTCTTTTTATCACTCATAATTATGTAGCTTACATGTTCTTTATTATTTCTGCTATTAATAACCACTTCTTATCATAATCAATTATTTTGAATATTTAGCATCCCCGATCTTTGTTTTATTTTCTGTTCATTTTTCTTATTTTCTCTCTGCCCATTATCTCCTGTAGACTCTTTTTCTGTTCCTATTACACTGGAGGGGAAAAGATTAAACTCCAGCAGTACCTCAACATACGCATCTTGGGTCCTGCTCACTTGCGCCTAATACTCTCTGGAATTAGATAAGCAGGCTGCATGCCTTGGGGAGAGAGTGCAGATTCAATTCCACATATGGGAATCTCGACATGCAGGTGACATATGTGAAACTCTATCTGGTTTGGATACTGTTAAGCATTGTGATGGTTTCCATGTGCATCAAACACACGGCTGACCAAAAAAAAATTAACAAGAGAGTAAAACAAAACCTTTAACTAGAGGTTTTTGTATTTTTAGTTTTTTGCAAAGTGGTTTCGAGTGTATTAAGTTGTTAACCCTGAAATTGTAGCGAACAGATGCACACATTTTCAGTGTTGCATTATCCTAAGCGTGGCAGGTCTCAAGCTTTCTGGTATCATTGTTGTTCTTTCCAAGTCCACATTAGTGCAGTACCCACACAGTAGGCGTTGTAGAAGAAGTTAAAATTAGAAATAATCAAAATTCACATTATGGCTTTGTTGTTCAGTAATTACATCTGGTTCTGTATAATTATCACCAACAGCATTAATTATAATGCTACATACTGGTCAAATATTACATTCCCCATTAGGTTAAAGCTTTCAGTTCACTAAATAGCAGTCAAATACCGATCATGAAAATGTTTATAACCAACAGTGTCAACATGAAAGATGTGTAATTATGCAACTTTGCATAAGTTGTTTTTGTAATTTTTCTCTCTGCCCCTGTTTTCCTCCCCTGATGACTTATGGCAGGGTGTAGTTTCAATTCTACCAGTGACCCCTCCACCCATGCGTTTTTTCATCAAAATGAGCGATGTTCATGTGTGTGCCTGAGAAGTGAATGTCAGCAGCCTAGGCTGCCACTTAGGCAAAATCACAAGCGAGTCTCATCTACTCATAGATGCCCTCACTTTGTAGCAGGGGTTACTGGTGTCAATCAAGAATGTACAGAGCCTGAGTCAGGCCTTGCCAGATCTAGAGTTGGAAAACAGGCCGTTGTCTAGTTACTAGCTGTTCCCTGAGATAGGCTTGAGATAAACTAATGTAAAAGCACTATAAACTTTGCTTCCCTATAACCAGTACTTTATTTTATGTGAATAGGATCTTGTTACACTTCGTTATGTTTGACAATGTTACACTGAATCAGAAAAGCAGGAAAGTCCATCACTGTTTTCTTTCTTTCATAGAGCAATTAATCTCCACAGCCCCTGTATCCTAATTCTCTCTATTGGCGGACTCTTGAGGATTACTTTTACTCATCTGTTCAGTCTGTCGAGCAAACAAATAATCTTTTCAGTCTGGCTCAGTCAGTAGCACTCTTACTTCTGAGTCAGAAGATTGTGGGTTCAATAATAATCCTTGCATTTGATATAGTGCCTTATCACGAGGTGTTGTCTTTCTGATGAGACATTAAACCAAGGTCCCATCTGTCTGCTCAGGTGGATGTTAAAGATCCCATGGTACTATTTCAAAAGAGAAGGGAGGTTAACCCAGTGCCCTGACCAACAATTCTCTGAATAAAATTGATCATTGACTTCATGGCTGTTTATTGGACATTACAGTAGGCAGTTTGGCTGCTGTATTCACCCACAAAATATACAGTCACTACACTTTACAGTCTATCCTGTGAAGTGTTTTGACACATCCTCCTAAAGTGAAAGGTCTATACCAAATGCAAGGATTATTATTATACCTACAACTGCACTGCATATGTGATTTCTTACTAGAGATTGATTGAATAGAGAACACCAGTGTTGTAAATTACAAGGACCCCATGATTAACATTTGCCCCCAGAGAGCATAAAATCCTATCCGCTTGTCTTCATTTATAAATCAAAAATGTAGACTGTGTCAGCTCAGACACTTGCAAAAATTGGACCTTTGAAAGCTCTTCTTTCTTGTGTTATACCAATTGACTTTCACCAAATAAACCCGGATATTTGTTGGTGAAAGATACTTTTTCAAAAAAACTGTCTTAGCTGTAATGCCTCCTTGCAGTTGAATGGCCTACCAACACTCACTGCTAGGCTTACACATAAAAATGGGCTACTTTTGCAAGGTTGCAGCAGGCAGAGACATTACTGCAAATTAGCACTAATAATCCAGTCGTACCACTTTTTGCCCACAAAATACACAGTCAATGCACTTTACAATATATCTTGTGAAGCACTTTGAGATGTCTCAACAATGTGATAAGGTGCTATATCAAATGCAAGTATTATTAATATTATTATCATAGGTTTATTAACAAATCAGCAACTGTATCCCAATATAATATAATACAAGACACTTAACGTCTTTTTACCCTATTACAACTTTGCCTTCTTTAGCACTTTCCTTAATAGAAATGTAACTCTTTTTATTGCTCTCACACGAAGTTGGCTCTATTGTTTTTCAGGGTACCCTTAAAGGTCGAGCAAGCAAATAATGCCCGGGAAGCTTTGGCCAAGGCCGTTTATAGCCGTCTTTTTGACCACGTGGTGAAGCGAGTCAACCATTGCTTCCCCTTTCAAAGCTCCTGCTTCTTTATTGGAGTTCTGGATATTGCTGGATTTGGTGAGTTTTCATTTGCAAGTTAACAGTTGGCTTTCCTGAATTATTCTTGTTAAATATTGCCACTGATTAGATGTACCTCTCACAATAATCTGGCTGAGAAGATGAAAGCTACAAATTGAGATTTCTGCAGGAATTTATCCAAAAAGCAAAATCAGAATGGAGTTATGAAGTACAAAGCTGTGATCCAGGGAAGGCAGTGTTGATGATTGACTATCCTCCCTGGGTCAGCAGAGGGACTTGGAGTATTAGGCATCTTATTAGAGGATGGCTTGTATATTAAGGGCAATTTTCTATGACAAGATACTAGGATGAAATGAATTAGATGCTTTGTGCAGCACATGCATGTGATTTGGTAAGTGAGTATGAGTGGTGATACAATGGAGATTGCTGGTTATTCAAAGGAACTGCTGGATTTAATCTGCTCAAGCAGTTGGTTACTACTGTTTCTGACATGTTGGCAAACTTTTTGTTGAGATCAGAGAAGTTCAATCAGAAAAGCTTTTGCAGTGTGGCTGACCATTTCCATTTTATACTTTACAGAATATTTTGAGCACAACAGCTTTGAGCAGTTCTGCATTAACTACTGCAATGAAAAGCTACAACAATTTTTCAATGAAAGGATCCTCAAGGAGGTAAGACCTGTGCTGTTGAACACTGCTCAAACCTGTCTTGTCGTGGAAACCAGTGTAGGCAAGAATATTCACTTCAAACACTGGATTTGTTTTGTACTTTCCTTCAGCACTTTGAGCTATTTCCCTCCTCAGAATGCACCTTCTTGACCAAGCTCTGCAAATCTTATTGCCATGTTTCCATTTCATCAATTACCACTATTTCCAAAGGCAGTCTTAATCCTACTTGCAAAACAACCCCCGGGATACGATGATAGGAAGATAAATGATCTATCCACAACATTCTGTTTTCCTGCCATGGTAATAGTCTTGGCTGACAGAGCAGTATCAGAGATGTGCTGATTTGTTGAAAGTGACGCTTTTCAGACAAGCCAATATTACTGAGGCCCTGTCTGCCTGTTCTGCTGGAAGTTAAAGATCCCTTGGGACGATTTGAAAAGAGAACAGAGTTTCTCTCAGAGTCCAAGCCAATAATAAAATAAAATAATTAATTTACTGTTGTGTTGAATTGGCTGCCGTGTTTGCCCAGATAGTACAGTTATTCCATTTTACCGTGTACCACAGGACTGACCTGTCCATTCTTCCAAACTACAGGAACAAGAACTATATCAAAGAGAAGGGCTCGGTGTTAATGAAGTGCACTATGTTGACAATCAAGACTGTATAGGTAGGTGCCACATCAGTTTGCCTGAAAATAACATTGCATACGGCAGATGCCTTTTAGGTCTATGCACTTGTGTTTATTTAACCTTGACAATGATATTGGTGAAAAGTTTTCGAAATACAAAAAAGAACAAGAATAAATGTGAGTGGAAAATGTGTGATCGAGTCTGGAAAGAATCATAAGTTTGTAATTAGGTTTGAGAAGCTATTGATGACAGTATAGTTATGATTGGCTCCAAACCACTGGGTCTGTTTTCATGGACAGACAGGATCTAAGGGAGATCTTGAACAGAGAAAGTTCAGAGTTAAGATGAAGATGTACAGGAGGTCTTCAAACGTCTGAAACATTTTGGGAGGATAAATAGTGAAAAATTATTCCTATGGATTGGTGAATTGATAACCAGGTTTTTTTTCATACAAAGGATTCTTAGAAGTTTTGTGGTCTGCTACAAATAGCTTTTGAGGCTAGGACCATCACACTTAAAAGGGAAGGAGAGCCATTTTGGATAAATGTTTAAAGAAAAATAGTTTGGAAGCAAATAAGGAAAGTATAGGGAATTGAAACTGTATAGCCCCAGTGGAGCTGGCACCATCTAAAATTGCCTATTTCAGTGCAGTAATTTATATATGCAAGGATTATTATTATTATATAGTTAAGATACTTCTGACTTTAACTGTGAACTTGTGGACAGATAAGAGCTGTGCTTTGAAGCCCATAATGAGATTTTCATTGATTTTGATAGCATCTGTGTAAACAGTGCTGTGAGCCCCATCCGCATTCATAGATCCCACTCTTCTTTTTGTGGAGCTCCCAGTGTAAAAAATCAAGGAGAGAAGTGGAGTGAGGAAATCATAAATGACAGGTTTATCCACAGGAGAGAGAGAGATTAACTATCACAGACAGGCAAATGAGGGGGTGGATGAGGGGGACGACTGAGGCATCTGATACTAGAGAGATGAAGCCTGTGAACTGCTGTAAATGTGTAAGATGAACATCGAACTGGGTGCACATATCAATGCAGTAAAACAATCTTGTTTTCTTTTAAACTCTTTTAATAAAAACAGATTTAATTGAAGCTAAATTAGTGGGTATCCTGGACATTCTGGATGAAGAAAACCGTCTACCTCAAACCAGTGACCTGCACTTTACTACAATGATACACCAGAAACACAAGGATCATTTCCGTCTCTCGGTAAGCTTTACTGCCTGTTCACAAGGAGCCATCTACTGGATATGCAGAAGGATTGTCTTGATGGCTCAGTGGGTAAATTCACTCACAAGGTGGTGTGTGTGGTGCTGAGTTAGGCCTACCCTAGCACTGCATTAGGGCTCCATGTCCCCAGCTTATGAAGGAGCCTGACTAACCCAGGTGCCTGGTTCCAATAGCTATTGAGTGACCTTTGCTTGAAGGTGCACATGTGTGGAATGACAACACAATACTCAGTTATGATGCTCCACCCTTCATTCATTGTTGACAGCAGGGCTCCAGCCTAATTCACGCTGCTCTGCTCAGTACCCTGTTTTATATATTGATTTTTCTGCCGTAGTTTGAATGCAGGTGAGGCTGTTTCTCTTTGTGCTGTTAAACCCAAAGTTCTCTTATCTTTAACGTCCAGATTCCTCGCAAATCCAAACTGACTGTCCACAGGAACGTCCGTGACGACGAAGGCTTCATCATCAGACACTTTGCTGGAGCAGTCTGCTACGAGACGGTAAGTTCGATCCCGCCAGTTTCCCATTCTCTTGATACATTGTGATTGTATCGTGGAGTTTGGGATCCAAAATGTTGCAAGCCACAGTAGAACTGACTCCCTTCAAAAATGTCTGCCAATCCAGCTCCTGGACATTGCTGTGCACTAGTTAGCTGCCATGATAACCTTCAAATGGACAGTAATAATAATCCTTGCATCACACTTCATAATAAATCATGTGAAGCACTTTGAGGCACATCTATGATGTCATAAGCGCTATATCAAATATAATAGGATTGTTGTCATTTACCACTTCAAAGCTAGCGGCAAAAAGAAAAGCTTTCTTTTTAATTGGGCGACTGACAAAAAAAAACTGATTTGTGATTTTCCTAACCACCTCTAGAAACAGCATCTGTACATGAGGGGGAGGTGTTGCTCATTTTTACTTTCTTCAAATTTCTTCAAATGTCATCTATTTGGAAATCCTCTCTTGGCTCCCACTGCAAGATAAATAATTCCACAGCCACACTTTTCACCTTACTTAAATGTGTTTCATATCGTGTGTTAGAAAAAGATTGGTTCATTGGGGATGCTTCTACCCGAATGAATGTGAAACGTGTTTTCAATGAGCTGTCCCAATTACTCAGTGCCTTACCGAGCCAAACAGGTTAGGATCATGGTCTCTTTCAAATTATTTGATCCCAATAAAAGTGGCTATAAGAGCTCTATAATTAACTGCAGCACCCTCTACCACCTAATGAGGAAAACAATTTGACCAGGTCCTGGCTAAATTGGACCTATAGATGTCGGATAGGCATAGGGTACGTTGTGTTATTTCCTGTGGGTGAATATGCTGGTGACAACATGTTATTGTCAGCATGGAGAGTGACCATTAGGATGAGGTTCTGGAAAGTGTTCAACGCCAGTGGAACTAGTACTTCAGAATGAGTCCAAAGAGGATGTAGCATTCAAGTTGTTGCAGGGAGCGAGGTAGAGGAAGCCTTGTATAGAATGAGTAATTGGTCAGTAGTTTTGGCTGTAAATAGCTTAGTTGAATTTTTGAAATATAGAGGAAAAACAACTCATTTAAAAACGGGTGTAGCTCATTTAACAGAAGTCTGAATTTGATGTTCTTGTGATTGTGTTGACGTCTCTGGGATTCAATCTAATTCCCTGGTGTCCATTGTTCACTTGTACTTTCTCCCTGTCAGACCAAGTTTGTAGAGAAAAATAATGATGCCTTACACATGTCGCTGGAGACTCTGATTTCTGAATCTAAAGACCAGTTCGTCCGACAGCTCTTTGAAGGAACCAACAACACTAAGGATTCAAAACAGAAAGCAGGAAAACTGAGCTTCATCAGTGTGGGCAACAAGTTCAAGGTAGGAACATATCAACATAAGAGCAAGAGTGGGTCATTCAGACTGACGAACCTTACGCCATTCCATGAGATCATAGTAGCAGGTTTAATCTGATGTCTTCTCTATCTCTTGATACCTTCAATGCCTAAGGATCTATCTATGAAGAGTTGTTTGGAAAAGACTGGCGTTGTAAAATGAAGAAGTGTGCTGTGTGTGAAGAATCTCTATGTTGAATCATGAAGTCATGGTGTGCTGTGTATGAATCTCACTTTTAAGAAAATAATACATGTGAGAATTTTTTTGCCCTGTAGCTCTTAATATAAGAATTAATAAAGGGAAACGGGTTGTTAATGTTTCCTGGTTTTGCTAAGAGTTGTCTTGGTTGATTCTTCTTAGCTGATTATATTAAATGTAAGTATCATCATTGTTATTGCAGGCTTTGTGTTACTTGGAGTTTAAATGAATTTGTTTTTTTCATCGAACTACATGTTGAATAGCTGGTAAAGCAATGAAGACATAAACAGGCATTGAATATATTACTGAGAGATCAATTCTAGCTCAGCAATAAAACTAGAACTGAAAGCACAGGTTGCAAACACAGAATGAGTGATCACATTTTCTGGTTCATTTATGTGAACTTGTTTAAGAACCAACGCTGTAAAGTTGAAATATCCAGTTAAAAATGTTGCATCATTATTTTATATGAAAAAAGTTAGTCAATTGCAATTTTTTTTAAATGCAGAGGAATGTGTAACATCATAGTAAATGTTCTGTTTGCTACAGTATTGCAGCTCTGAGCAATGAACTGAGGTATAACAAAATTATTGAGTTCTGTTCTCAAAGCTCCAGAAGTTGATTGGAAGATAATTTTGTTCAACCTTTGTTCAATTGTAATCTGTAACAAGCATTATTACAGCTAGTGTGTGCCGTTGTTTCTACTGCGTATTAGTCTCCACCCTCCTAGTTCCATCTCCTATGTCCCCCTATTCCCTTCCCCCTCATGTATATATCAAGACTGGTTAAAGCATCTTGAACATGAGAGGTACCATTAATATGTGAGGTGTCTGAGCAGAGCCTTACGCATTAATATGAAGCGTAGTACACCTGAGGGTCTCATCCCAGCAGTGCTCATTAATATGAAGCATCTTATGCATCATGTCTGATCAGACCAGTGCTCATTAACATGAAGCATGTTGTTATCTGGGCCAGGAAGGAGACAGTGATTTTTATAATGTTTACATTACTATGGGATCATTTATTACATTTCACCTAAAGAGTATACTTCTAATTTGTTGTCTAAAATGTATAAACTGAGCTTTAAAAGTCGTGACTGATGCCTTGCCTCACCTCAACTGTCTGTCATTTCTACTTCTTAGTCTGAGTAACTTCTCACTATTCTTAAAACTTTCTTGCTATACTTTCCGTCTGTTTTACATTTTTCAGTGAGGTTTTATAAAATGTCTTCTTAAAAATAAATAAACATGTAGTTTCCTGTTATCTGAATTTCAATATCAAACTTGTCCATACTCATCAATTTTTGACTGTTTTTCCAATTGAGTTCCCATTTAAATGATTTACTGTTTGGTTTAAAAAACGATCTTAAATCTGCTTAAGGTGTGGTAGCTAAACTTAACAGGTGACTTTCACAATGCCTAGATGAGAAGCCTTGATCATGGATATGGGCCCCTAAGTTTTCCTAAAACTTTTAACTAAATCATGTTAAGTAATGTTACAGGTTGATTTTTGTCCTGTATTTCTAAGTGGGCACAATTAGCGAGATTATGTTGGTTATTTAGGTTTTGGGGATGTTCGTAGAGTTAAAAAATGCATCTTAAATATTTCGTTTTTGGATATTATGGGTATTTCAATGGAATGACTTGAGTTGGTGCAGCACTTCAGAATGTAAGTTTGATTTCCCTCACTTCCTGTTTCTGATTTTGGGTACGTCACCTACCAAATACACAGTCACTACACTTTACAGAAAATCCTATGAAGTGTCTCTGAGCCATTCTCCAGACGTGCTAGATGCTATATGAAATACAACGTTAATAATAATTATGTCACTTCAAGGGGAAAAGGCAGGCAGGGAGAGGCGGTCCTCTGAGGGAGATTTTGTTCTGGGTTGCCAATAGACAACTTCTAGAGGGCAACTGGAAAGCTACAGTGGAAGAAGTTTTTTTTGGGTGTGGGGGGATGGAGTGGGATTGGATAGAGCAGTGATTCTAAGGGGGGGCGAGATAATCTAGCAATGTACATCTTGTGCATCACAAAAACAGTGACATTTGTAATCCTTGCATAGTGTTCCAATGCTTCCATTCATTTACCGCTGTAGTTTGTGATGCTTTCTCCTAATTTCTCCTCTCTTCTACCTATTGTTAAGATGACCTTTAGGCCTTGTCTTCTCCATCTGTTTGCTGCTACTTTTCCTCAGGCAGCTGGCTTGGTCTGGAACACTCCAGTTCAGGATGGGTAGACAAATCTCTAGGGAGGTTGGGAAAGGAAAAGTAGACGCAGCCAGGGACAGCAGGTAACTCCTTATTTGAGCAATTGCACACCAGTAATGCGGCTGTCGGAATATTGACTTCTATGACTCTGGCTGGGTCACTTAAACTGCACTTTAACCCTTCCCAGCACAGTGCTTCTTTCAGGACAAATTTTTAGCAGAACCCATGGCCACACAAGCCCCAACATCCATCCATGCATGCTTGATGTGTTCATGCTAACACCACATTTGGTTACAGTATCCCTCTACATGGTAATTGTCTGTCATGGCAATCAAATCCCAGCCAAATACAGACAGATTCAATCTCTTGCAGAACTGTTGACAATGTTCTAATAGATGTTAGTTCTGTTCACCAATCCCAAGGCTTGCTCTTTATGTCATTAGTCTTGGTACAGTCCTGTTATATGCAGGTTTATTGTTATACAATACTTTATTTCCATTCTATTTCACATCTTGAGCATTGCAACATACTTCAAAGTATATACTTTTTAAAAAAAGCATTAACAAGTGAAGTGTGTGTGTGAGAAAGGCCATTGTGTGAAAACAAGACCATAGTCCAGACCAAAATCAAATTTGGAGCTTTCCAGATCTGTCCAGTTCTGTAACCACATCATGCAGTGTATTTACTTACAAAGCTATTGTAGAAGTTCCCTCTCTTCCCCCATTCTCTCTCTTCCTCTTTCTTCCTCTCTCTCTCTTCCTCTCTCTCTCTTCACAGTTAATTTTGAGACTGACATTTTTGTCCAATATATCAAAAAGACACCTCGTCAACCCTTGGACTTGGAACAATGTGGGTGAGGTTGGAAAGGGTTCAGGCTTTTTCTGTGAAATGTATGATTTCTATAGTGAAATGTATGATTTCTACAGTGAAACTCTTGATAACTCGCCCCTGAGATAAGTCATCAGCTAGTCCCTCACTCAATATCCTGGCTATTTGAATATTTGTACTTTTGAGATGCTATACTTTGGTTAACTAGTTAATTCTGGTAAGTAGTCATTTGAGCTATTTCCCTTGGGGTGATAAGTTATCAGAGTTTCACTGTTAAAAAAAATCTGATATTGTTTAATTTTTATTTTTATTCAAAGTACTCGAAAGCTGGGATATTGAGTGACTAACTAGTTATATGGGGTTGACTGCTTATCACAGGGACGAGTTATCAGTTACACTGTGTTTAGTCTTTTTATTTCTCACTGTTGGTCCTTTAGTCAATAATACAGGGGAATCGAACAATAAGCTTAGATGAAGAAGGCTCTTCAGCCATTTGATCTCATCCTTACAGAATAGCCACCTTACCATCTTCCCTTTACAGTATCAAGCTGTTTCTTACATGTATCCAAGTCTCAGCCGCTCTGCCTGGTAACCCAGTTCCAGCTGTTTGTTGGCCATATGCTCCACTTTGGTCTTTTGTGACTTAAGCTGTACACACTATTAGGAAAGTTGTGCACCTGAATGTATTGATTCGTAAGATGTACTGGCACTTTAGGAGATCATAAATGTGTTCATTTTCATTACAACTCACACCTCTAAGCTGCATAAGGAAATGAAAGTTAACAGAATGCAATAGACGAACGCTTTGCATGCCTGCCTGTAACTTATAAAGCAAACTAGTCATTTGAAACTTAAATTCTCCTGATCTATATTTGCATTGGGCCAAAGACTTGAGATGGCTACATTTCTCATTCTTTTTGTATATTTTTTTACAGACTCAGTTGAATTTGTTGCTTGAAAAACTGCGCAGCACTGTGAGTATACATTGTTCTATTAGAGGCTTTTCCATGAATAAATCATCGTTCCATGAGATCTGGCCAACATGTTGTCTTCTTGAGCAATGTTTCACTGTACATTTTGGAGAGTAAGAAAACGAGACTTGTTTAAAAATCACCACATTAAAATACAGTATTCAATTAAAGATTTGTACAATCTTCGGGAATTGATCAGTAATAGTAAAAATGTGTCATTGTGCTTTATTTTTAAGAGAAAGAGTGTTATTTTCTCTTTTTGTTTTGGTTATTCCTGCACAGCAATCCTCTGCTGAGGATGGTCAGGCCTCCTGCTGCTCTGGAACTGGCTACTAGGAAGTTCTCAAGTGCCCCTTCTTTGACTTCCCCTCTGGATGTTGGGAAGTGTCTGGCTCTTGCTGGATTCCTCTTGTACAACCTCAAAACCCACTATATAGGGAATGGAGGGTGCAGTGTTGGTGTGTTCAGTGTGTTGAGCCATCAGCCAGGCAGAGAAAGGCTAACTGTTCACCCGAGTGAGAAATGGTGTACAACGTTGCCCTCAAATGATAATGTTAATAGAAAAATAGAAACAGGAGTAGGCTACTCAGGCCCTCCAGCCTGTTCTGCCATTCTATAAGATCATGGCTGATTTCTACCTCAAGTCCAATTGCCCGCCTTTGCCCCGTATCCCTTAATACCCTGATCTAACAAATATCTATCCACCTCAGTCTTGAAGATGTGACTGGCTCAGCATCCACAGGCTTTTTGGGGAGAGAGAGTTCGAGATTTCCACTACTCTTTGGGTGAAAAACTGCCTCCTAATTTCATCCCTAAATGGCCTAGCTCTAATTTTAAGATTATGCCCCCTTGTTCTGGATTCCCCTACCAGAGAAAATAGTGTCTCTGTATCTACCCTAGCAAATTTTTTTGTTATTTTAAAAACCTCAAATCAGATCACCCCTCAACCTTCCAAACTCAAAGGAATATGTGTAACATATCACATTGATATGTCACTGAATTGGTTAACAAGAGAAATATTAGCGTCAATGAATAATTACTTCTCTGCAGTATATAGATATGAATAGATATAAATGTATGTGTGTTTCCACAGGGATCCAGCTTTATTCGTTGCATCAAACCCAATCTAAAAATGACAAGCCACCAGTTTGAAGGAGCACAGATCCTCTCGCAGCTTCAATGTTCAGGTGGAGTATCTCCTCTCCTAATTTGAATTTCCACATCCTCTTGGTGCTCCACTTAAATTTATTTGACTTTATTTTACTGTGATAGTCCTTGTCTTCACTGATTCCAGTCATTGTTTAGGTATCATCTGAATGCTTTACAAATGCTATATCTAGAGTATTTCAAGACTCCTTCAGAAAAATAATAATAAATTGGTCACTTGAATCCACGACTGTTTGTGGGAACACTGCTGTTGGCAATTGGCTGCCGCGTTTATCCCACAAAATATACAGTCAATTCACTTTACAGTATATTCTGTGAAGGGCTTTGAGACGTCTCGAAAACGTGATCAGGCACTATATAAAATTCAACGATCATTATTATTATGTGTTGTGACAGTGTATACTGGGGGAGTAGAGGTTCTGCCAATAGGGAATCATCATTTGGATCATGCTAATATTTCTCCTCCTTCAATTCTCCACTCATCTTTTCTCCTGCCCTCACGCTTGTACCTTTCTCCATTCTTATACTTTTCTGTAGAGATCACCTGCTGATTTTCCCTCCCAATGGTTCTCATGCCAATTGTATTACCTCCTTCCCCCAGCTACTGCCGAAATTAAAATCAGCTAACTCAGCACAAATTGGGCTTTGAAATTGTGATGTTCTGATCAGTGTTGCCTTGTGCTGCACTGGGCAGTGTTTTTCGTCATAAGATGATTGGGAAAAGATATGTTTTTTAAACTTGATCTACAGTGGGTAATGGGCACTAAGGACATGATGTCCCAGAGGGATTTAGGAACATGTGTTTTATTTCATGATTTCTAGGCTCACATGCAACTGATGCAACTATCATGCAGCTCATTATGATTATTTTCAAAAATGAAAATTGATTTTGTAAGGAAAATTTGCTTTTTAAAAAACCAATGTATTAAATTTAAAGTAAATTTGGCCATTATTGCTTGCACCTATTCACTATGCTTTATAACCAAATTTGTCCCACATGAGGTCCTTATTATTTGTTAAGAGCCTCAGGTGAAATGCATGACTTTCTTTCTTCTAAAACAGCAAGTGTTATTTCTAATGAAGCCTGTTTTTTATTTAAAATGTGTAATTCAGAACAACTATTCACTGTTAAATTCCCCTGAAATTCTTATTTTTGAATAGATGTAGAAAGCTTGTGATGTGAAATAATTGTGGTGAGCTGGTTTCAGTATTCTCCCTGTTATTGTGCAGGTATGGTGTCTGTGCTGGATCTCATGCAAGGAGGGTTTCCATCACGAGCTCCATTCCATGAACTTTATAACATGTACAAGCAGTACATGCCTAAAAAGCTCTGCAGACTGGACCCCAGGCTCTTCTGCAAGGTACTGATTACTACTAATGGGCTGCTTTATAGCTTCATAATTCAGTTGAGATGTTTATTCCAAAGTGCTCCAGATGAATGAGGGTAAATCCGTGATACAACATTAATTTTTCCAGCCGAACAAGATAGTGAGTTCAGTTTCTGGTCTATTCTAAGTTAGCTGATCACACTTGGTAGAGTTGACACAACTGATGTCAGTGATCGTAGGCTTGAGAGGGGGAAAACCAGCCAGGGTTTCCATTCACTTTGTTCCCCATCTCAAGGTACTTGCTGAGGATTGTGGATGTTTGACTGGATCAGGCTTGGTTGGGAAACCCTCCACAGACTGCCAATTCTAAATGCTGAGCTCACGCATGAATAATGGCCATTAAGCAAGGTAACGGAAGGCACCCAAGGAAGATTACCCCAGTAAAAGGAAAGAGGAGTTGAGAACCTTCAGGATGAAAAAATCAGGGGAGAGAAAGTAAAATAAAAGTTATTGGCCTTGCTGTGGAGCTTGTAGTATTCTTGTAAACTGTTGTGGTTGCAAGATAACAGCACCTTAAAAACCAGGCACATTTTAGTTTAGGGATACTTGTGAATTTATTCAGAACAGGGTGAGCCTCCATGTTGCTTTCAATAGCCACAAGCATCTTCTCTGTCCACCATCACAACTGTTGACCATGCAGCAGGACATTTGATCCCTCAGCCTTCTTGTTGGAAGATGAAGGTCACCAATGGTGTACGGTGTTGTTTGGGATTATTTATTTTCCTGGAGTTCCCTAATGGAGTGCAGTGGACCCCCTGAAGTCACCAATGTTGTTTGGTAGCATTCACGTTCATTTTTGTTTTCCAGGCTCTGTTCAAAGCTTTGGGTCTCAATGAAAACGATTACAAGTTTGGTCTAACCAAGGTCTTCTTCAGACCTGGCAAGGTAATGAACATTTCTGAACTCTAAATTTCTAAATTTTCTCCTTTGTGTGTGGAGTGGAAAGAATATTTGTGAAGAGTACATTCCAATCTTCTGAGTGCTGTTTTACAGTATTTGTTTTGAAATGAGTCTCTTTGCATTTCATTATTAGTGTGGAGTCCTGTAGCTCAGTGGTTAGAGCACTCGCTTTGCAAGCGAGAGACCTGAGTTCAATTCCAGGCAGAGGGCGAAACCTTGGGCAAGTTTCCTTACTCCACACAGAGCCTAATAATAATCCCTCCGAAACCAAAAACAATAATAAATTGGTCATTTTCAATCTACGACTGTTTGTGGGACATTGCTGTGCGCAATTGGCTGCCGCGTTCGCCCACAAATATACAGTCAATTCACTTTACAGTGTGTTCTGTGAAGTGCTTAGGGACGTCCTCCCGACGTGAAAAGCGCTATATCAAATGCAAGGATTATTATTATTATAGTGATCTATTTAATGATAGCTATGCAGCCACAACATCCCTATCCTCTGGAACTCACTTCCTCTACCCCACCGACTCAGGCCCTCTACGTCTGTCTTTAAATCCCACTTTAAAATCTACTTTTTCCAAGTGCAAGCATGGCTATTGCTAAATGTTGGCCCTGCTCAGTTTGCAGAATTTGATCAGATCATGAAGTCTGACCCTGAACATCTGGCGTTGCTGGTGAAACGTGTCAATCATTGGCTTATTTGCAGCCGATGGAAGAAGGTTCAATGGTGCGCTTTGTCGGTTATTAAATGTAAGTATTTTATTTCAGTGGAACAAGTAACCAGTGTTTTTGGAACAGGTGATTTTCTTGCACTGTTCCCAGTAACTTTGCAGTAAACTATATTGATTTTATACTATGGTGATGTACAATAGCCCCAATGACAATGTGAATGTGGGATTTACGTGCACGTCCATCTATGCAAGGTCGAAGATACCTATTACTAAATGCTCCGTCATGGCAACTGTACTCATTCAGCATCCCCTATACCGCTTGATGGGTATTACTCCATTGTTGGGACTTGTGATTTGGAAAAATACTAAAGGATTCCTTTAAAGCACTTTGGGAATTCCTCACGTAATGTAATTATAACCGGTCACAGAAATTAAAACAGATGTGATGGACACCCTTAATGCTTTTACCAGATAACCTGCAGGAAATTCTCAGTGTTTCTGTAGTTTAGTTTTCCCTCTTCCCAATTCCTCTCCGCTGGCTGATGCCAGGTTATTGCTCCAGAGGCACCAGCCACTCTCCAATACTGTGTCCAAGTCACCCTGACACACAAGAGCTCAGCTCTGAGCTGCCCTGGAGCAGATCCCATGGTTCAGAGGGATGAACTCCCACACTGACAGGATTAGCTGTTTGCCACCCTAAGCCGCTGTTACCCATTCAATTATAACTCACTGCAAATTAGACCCCAGGGTCATAAGCTTATCTTTAACTTCTGTTCTTTTTATAATAATAATTTATCATACAGAAATGTGAATTTGTAAGTTGCAGACCAATTCTATTTGCATGAAATTCAATGTTCTGCGGATTATATTTGGTCTCTTATTTCAGCCGTTGGTCCTTTGTTAAGAGAGGAAAAAACATTAAAGTTTGATCCAGAAGCAATTTAAAAGTTGTTAACAAAATGTGTTTTCTGCAGTGAAAAACAAGATCAAGTACCGCGCTACTGCCTGTATTGCGATCCAGAAAACTGTCCGCATGTGGTTGTGTAAGAAAAAACATAAGCCACGGTGAGTGGTGCTAACAATCCCTTCATGGCTCAGCGTGTAATGTAATGTGCAGCTGGACTAGTATCTGAAAAGCTAAGTAATATAGATTGTTTGGAATACATTCTTGAACTGATAGATTGTCTTAAAGGCCATCACTTGCCAACAACTACTTACACTTATATAGGGTGAATCAGATAATGTGATTATAACCGGCCACAGAAATAAAACTGGTGTGATGTATACCCTTAATGCTTTTACCATACAACTTGCAGGAAATTCCTGGTGTTTCTGTAGTTTAGTTTTCCCTCTCCACAAGGTCTATATGAGATGTTCATACTGTATGCCATGTTGACATTTACACATATCAATGCGGTGACAACTTTCATCTCCTGTATTGGCTGCACACTCCTTAAGAAATAAAAAAAACTCTATTAGTAAGAACTTCTGATTCACTCTATATAGTGCCTTACACATTAAAAATGCACATCCTGAAGTGCTTTCCAGAGACATAGTGGAAACTCAAACAAAGTAGCAAATAGGAGGTCAGAGTGAGATGAGCTCATCCACACATGAAGGAGAAGGGAATAGAGGGGTATAGGAGAAGTTAGGCTGAATACTTCCAGTCTCAGTAATTCCGTGTAATGACACTGGGTACCTTACAGAGTGTTCACCAAAGGTAAAACTAAACTGATGAGAGCTGTCAAGGGTTACTTGAGGTTACTCCCTTACTTGTGTTAAATTCTGTGCAGTTGTGTAGTATTATGCCATCTCATCTGATGCCTTCTTTAATTCCACCAATTTTCCTTTTTTGTCCTCACTTTCTCCAGCGGTGTAGTGTTTTTTTGTCGGTTCCTGAGTGGAGGGTCACTAAGTGTTTATTTTTGTCTAGCATTGATGGTCTGGTGAAGGTGAAGACCCTGAAGACGCGAGTGAATCGATTGGTTGACGTAGTGAATGCCTTGAAAGAAGGAAAGCCTGAGATGAGTAAACAGGTCAAAGACCTTGAGGCTTCAATTGATGGTCTCATGGCCAAAATCAAGGTGGGTAATAGAATAAATAGGTATTAAGTTCTTCTTTGATTAAAAATTAGTGTCATGCAAAACATCTGCTACTAAAGATTAATAACTAAATGATCAGAAATTAAACCTTCATTTGATATAAACTTCATAACCTCACAGAATGCTTTTCCATAGTTACTGGTAAGTATAATGATTGTATTTGTAGTTGAACACAGCATCCAATTTGTGCACAGCAATGTGCAACAAATAGCCAGGAAGTGAATGAGCAATTTACCACGAGGCACCAGGAGAAACTCCCTTCTTTTTTTGAATAGTCTTATGGGTTCTTTAACATTCTGAACAGGAAGATGGGATCTATTAACATTTCAGCAGAAGAACAGCAACGCAATAATTCAGTGCTCCCCAACATCTCCCTGGGCTGTGACCTCAAAATCCCCAGGTGAGGTTTCTATAGCTTTCTGAACTAGAGGTGAGAGTGTACCAATGGAGACAGGCTGCCGCATCTGACACAACCTGGAGGAAAACTGAGTCAAGTTGTGGAAGTGATTAACCTGTGGTGTCTTCTCTTCCTGTTTGCTTTCTCCAGAAGACCACAATGACCAGAGAACAGATTGATAAGGAGTATTTTGCTTTGGTGAAACGTTCAGAGCAGCTTCTCGGCTCACTGCAGAAGAAGAAACAAGAGGAGGAGGAACGTGCGAGGCTGCGACGCATCCAAGAAGAGATGGAACGGGACCAGAAGCACCGTGAGGATGAAGAACGGAAGCGCAGGCAAGAGGAGGAGGAACGCCGGCAGTAAGTGTCTACCAGTGATCACAGCCTTTTCTTTCTGTTGTTACATTACGTGTCGGGACTCAGCAATTTACTGTTCTATAAAAGAGCAATTAAACTACGACTTGAATGTTCCACCAGTAATGGGGAGGTCACATGATTTGTACATCTCTGGTGTTTGATTGAGAGAGAGATGTATTGCAGGAATATTATGGGGACTCAGATGCTGCTCCTGCCTGAAATCGTCATAGGACCCTTATCAGGACAAGTAATAACCTATTTATCTGGTGGATGGATTGTTGGCCCTGGGAGAAACTCCCTTCTCTTTTTGAATAGTGTCATGAGATTTTTAATGGCCACTAAACAGGCAGATAGGAACTCAATTTAACGTCTCTACCGAAGAACCATTGTAAGCTTAATGTCTAAGTCAAAGGAAAGCACCTCTGAAAATATAGACAGAGCTCCCACAATACTGCACTGGAGTATCAGCTTGCACTGTGAGTTCCTTATAGTGACGATCCTACATGTGGAGTGTCCATTCCCTTGTAGTAGGAGTAGAATTTCAAAGGCCCTGCTCAGTCTGTTATAACAGGTTAAATCCACTACATACACATCATTAGACCATGGCAAATGCTAGTGTCCATAATTAGATGAAATAAAACCATTCCATGATGTAAGACTCTCCATGAAATGGAAGGCAATTTAAAATTGGTTTTATTTGGGCCACTGCAAAATCTAGTTAGGTGACCAGGTTTATTTATGAGTTTTCAAACTGTTTCTCACCATAAAGGTACATTTTTTTAAATTTGCTGATCACTTTCAAGGCAGAACAGCAGCTGATCGAGACCCTACACTGCGTGAAGGATGCTATATAAATGCAAGTTGTTGTGTTGATCACAAACTGCACGATGCATTGAGTTCAATGATACACATTGTCCCTATTTGCATGTTCGTGTCAACCTCTTGGTAACTTCCCATCAGTAACTTCATGATGTGCTGTGCTGAGATTTCTGAATGTCATTTACAGTCATCCTGTGCTCTTACAGGAAAGCTGAGATGGAGGCAAAGAGAAAACAAGAGGAAGAAGCGAGGAAGAAGCGAGAGGAAGAGGACCGACGTATCCAGGTTGAGCTTGAGATTTAGATTCTTTTGGTTTTGAAGTCTCTTCTTATATTCTCCAATGTCAAGTTTCAGAGTAGAAAGTCTAAAGGGGTCTGGACCTCCTCATGTGCTGGGTTAATTCTTTCAATCCATTCTTTATCGTCAGCAAGTTAGCAGCATGTGGTTTGTAACTGCACAATACATTATGAAGCAGTCTCACCTTACTCTATTGACCCAAGTTGATTTGAGGTTCATGCCTTCATCACCTCCAGGCTCGACTATGCTTGTCGGTCTTCCCAACTCCTCCCTCCACAGGCTGCAGATAATCCAGCACTCTGCAGCCCATGTCCTCTCCCGCACCAAATTCCATGACCCCATCTCCCCCACTCTCGCCCGACTCCATTGGCTCCCTATCCTTCAGAAGATCCAGTTCAAAATTCTGGTCCTCACCTACAAAGCGCTCCATGGCCTCGCCCCACCCTACCTCTGTGACCTTCTAACCCCCTACCAATCCGCCCGTTCTCTCCACTCAGCCGGCTCTGATCTGCTTCACGTCCCCTGACCCACCCGCCCCACCATTGACGGGAGAGCCTTCAGCCACTCTGCCCCAACCTCTGGAACTCCATCCCCCAATCACTCCGCCTCACCCCCTCCTTAGCCTCCTTCAAGTCTCACCTCAAGACCCTCCTCTTCGACCATGCTATTGATCAACCCCCTTCACCACCCCCCCCCCGACTCGGGTCTGAAATGCTGTACATTGTCCAGCACCTTGGGACGTCCTCCCGACATGAAAGGCACTATACAAATGTAATCTTGTTGGTGTTGTTGAGCATAATCAATGTTCATAATCCAAATAGTATTGCATCTTGGACAGCATTCCTTCCTCTGTATTATATTGCACACTATTATAACCTACATAAGTTCAGTTAAACTTGTTGGCACGTTTTTACATAAAACACTTTATAAGAATAATCCCTTGGTTTGCGGTAGCGCCTTTCACATTTGGAAGACATCTCAAAGTGCTGCACAGGATTAATTGTAAAGTGTAGTGGCTGCATTTCTATAGGCAAACTTTTTTTGGGATAAATATCACATGACCCTGGCAGATAACTTTTCTCATTTACATAGTGCTGTTCTGTGAAGTGTGCAGAGTCACCGGAACTTACTTACTTTCAACATTGAACGTGACAGATGTTTTGGAGCATATTCATCTAAATTATTTCTGGTTAAGTGTTTACTGCAACTTGAAAAATGGAAGCTATTTTGATTAGGTTCAGCTCTTGATTCTGTATACAGTGGATACTCTTCCAAAGCTCATGAGAAAAGAATGATTAATTGGGAGAAGAAGGGTTGCATATATTCATGAAACCATATCCTAGCATCAGAGGAAAGGTGCAGGCAAATTAAAACTATATAAAACATTTAATTTTGCAGACGTCCAAATGTTGTGCAGTGTCGTAGTTGAATGTGATGTCCATTTTGCTGTTTGATAAGTTTATTTAAAAAATCCATTGCTCATTAATTGTTTGTGTCTTGGCAATCCATTCTAGTGAAAGAGACAAGTGTGCAATACTTTGAGTTTTTGAAACTTCATCAGATTTGAAGGGTTGCTGGTACAGCACACAAACCTATAGTGTTCTGCACTTTAGTTTGAGCTTTTTAAGTACTAACCAATTTGAATCACGTTGATTGATCAATGGGCACCCTTGCTGTCTCCAGGCTGAAGTGGAGACTCAGTTAATCGCGGAGCGTGAGGATGAAGCTCACAAGCAGACTGTCCTAGAGCAGGAACGCCGAGATCGGGAGCTTGCCATGAGGATTGCACAGAGTGAGGCCGAACTCATAAGTGAGGAACTTCCAATGGAAATAGCAACTCGGAGGTAAGGCACAAAACGAATTTAAGATGAGAAAAGTTACCATTCATTTCTTTCTCAGCAGATTTTTTCTGTTTATACTGAAAAAATTTATGAATCTCTTCTCTTCCACAGCGTTGAAGTTAAAAGCGTTCTCCCAGTGACTCCTAAGTAAGAATGCTTCCTGCAACTCCATCACACCTCATAATTAAATCACACTAGCTGCATGCTACAATATCATGATCTAAAAGACCTTAATCACAGAGTTCCTGCACACCGGCTACCGAACAGAGCATCTGATGAACCGATTCTGAATCAATGCTGATTTTATGATAAAAGTAAAGCCCCAAAAAAACTCAAATCTTTTCAATCATCTTGATTTTTTGCATGAATGCAGCAATCATTTAGAAATCAAAATCAGAAGAATTCCTAAAAGAAAAGTGCACTTAGCCTGCGAGCTGTCGGCTCGTGGGGTATCTGAAATGAGTGTACCTAGCGAAATCTAACCAGTGTGTTCTGTTTCCAGATCTGGTGGATCCCAGTCCAAAATGACAATGTATGAGTTTTGTTTTCTTTGTTTCATTTACGCTGCTAATATTGGTGATGGTCACATTGATAATGGTGATTTATTTGGCTTTCTCGTGTGTATCAACTAAGTGGTACGTAGGGAGCTCCCACTTTGATAGTAACAATCTGGAGGTGGCTGTTTGCAACACTTCCTTTCATCAAATTGTATTTGTTCTGCACAAATTTCCATGTCTATGCCATCTCTCCCTGCCAGTGCAAATGGGATTAGGTTTGAAATGGCGAGCTAGAAAGGGATATTTATTAAACTTGGTCAAGGACCAATTAGGATCACATCAGTTCATATCATTATATTAAAGATGATACTCCAAATGTAGAAGGCTCCCTTTGTCCTATCTCTGTAGCCTAATTGGATCAATTGTGTTTAAAAAAAATTAATAACTTTGTGAAGGGCAACCCATATCTGCAATGCAGGAAGCCACAAGGGTGCAAAAGAGGAGCAAAGAAATGAGGCCTAGACCTTAAGAGAGAGGTACCACGGAGGGATGTAAGGAGCTACAATAGCATTTTCATGCAGGAGAGCATTTCACTGTGAGCTATGTATCTTGCGAAAGAATGGAGTTTGAGTAGGAGGCAGACCACCTGAGTTTTGATTGATATAGGAAGAAGGTAGAGAGTGAGAAGCAATATAATTAAACTTTGAGGGAAACCAGAGAGGACCAGGGAACGAGTCAAAGAATTATACAGTACAGAAGGAGGCCATTTGGCCCATCATGTCTGTGCCGGCTCTTTTCAAAGAATAGAATAGTTTAATTTCTTTAGCTCACAATTTGTCACCTCCTATTATCTAGACTGATTGAGATTATATTTTGTAGCAGAATGTTTTATTAATCATGAATTACTGACTGCCAGAGCATTCAATACATGTGTGTTTAAAGTACTAGTTTTGCTTCTTTTTATGATTATTGAATATCAATATGTGTGTTTAAAGTACTAGTTTTGCTTCTTTTTATGATTATTGAATATCAATATGTATGTTAACGTTACATCAAATATGGACTCTTAATATCAACCCATATTGAGAGTTCATATCCAAATAGTATCACAAGCAGATGAGATTGAATTACAATCCTGTCCTTTATGGTTGGCCAACAAAATACATTTTCTTGATTGAATATTTCTTGATTTATGCCATATTCAATTAAGAAAAAAAAACTGAAAACACACTACTGATTGAACATGGACTCGTGCGAATTATTGTGTGGTCACTTGCAGCCCACGGACCACTTCCTGTGTTAAAAAGATTCTTGATACTGTAAAATCATTGGAGACAAGCTGTAAATATAATGAAATTGCATCATCTGAACAAAACCAAGATAACCTTCAGATCTACACATATGGTTGTTTGTTCCTTTTCTAATCCAATGAGCAGTCTTCAAAGGAAGCATTTTAATTGAAATTTCATATTTTCAATATCTTGACATGAAAATGAGATAGAAGAGTCTTTTAATTACTTTTAATTACTTCTTTCAAAAAATGTTTTTAAAAAGGTTAGAGATTCTCCTTTATATCACACATATAAGTCATTGCCACCAAGGATTTGGGATAGAGATAGAAAGGGCAAAACATGATCCTGTTTGTATTTGTCATTTTAAAAAATCAAGTATGTGATTATATCACTTATTTTGTTCTTTTAAAATGTAACAACTTCCTATGACAGGAGAATCTTCAAAACTTTTATAAATAGGCAGGTGTGATCAGTTATCTTCAGTGTGCCTGGCTTAGAAGCCTTCAATGGTCCAAGCACTGACAATAATTGTACATACCTTTCAGAGGAAACCAATGTGGCAGAGACAATGTATACCATTTATTATACCACTCCTTTACCTAAGGAATGATGAGCTCATGCTCATCAGATTATAGATCTCAAATATTGGCTTTTCTGTTATGTGAGGTTTGCAACTTCATCCATTATGTATGCAGGAGTCTGACCTGAACCTGTGTGAGTGAATTCACTAAATGTGGCAAGAGGGATTTGGATGAAGCAGGTCCTTCAACTCATTACATCCTGTCCTTCTTTCTCCTACTTTTCAAACTGCTTCTTCAATTAGTCCTAGCCTCTACCATACTTCGGTAATCCTTTTTAGCCAATGATTACCTTCAGTGTAACTAAATACTTTCTGGTGTGTCATGAATCTGCCTTTCACAGCTTTCAACTTGTTCTGTTGGGTTATAACTCTTGTTGTATCTGAAAGTATCGCTCAGGGTTTCTGAGCTCCAAATCGTTTGGATCATCCATCTTAATGCAACTTTTCAGCTAGTGTTCATGAATATATGAATAATATTGATTGGGATTGTGTATTGCCTCATTAACACGCAGTTCTCTTTGTGCTCTTGTAGGGATGAAATGGCCAAAGAAATGTCGGACTACCTGGCGAGGTGGGTAATGCTACGGCTGCTTGAATTGTGTGTGAGAGACAAGGGTTGATCAGTAACAAGCATCAATACAACCAATTGCTATTCACTTTATTACTATTCCTTTTGTATTCCCATGTATTGCTGTTTAGAGATTTTATATTTAAGGGTTTTCCTCAATGCAGGATCTGTGGATGGTTCCCCCCACTGGAAGGACTAATATTTTTAGGACACAGGATATTTGGTTCAAAACTAAGCTAAATCGAGGTCTGCCTCCATGAGACAATCAATTCCGTACCTTCTTCTTCACGCTCAACAATTTCAGATTTGTGCTCCGGTCATTAGTAGCTATGGCGGTGGTGGACGTGGTTGTTGGGGCAGGGGGGCGGGGGTGGCAGTCACTCTCGGCATCTTCCACACCTAAGGTTTGAAGTCAGGACCTGTGCTGGTAGAATTCAGAATAAATGAAAAGAGACATTAACTTTAAAATCCCTTAGGTGTTGAGGTGTCACAGCATTGAGCTGCAATATAAGGTCATTATAAGGCAGGGCTTTATATTTCTCCCCTAGGTGAGAGATCGCAAAGCACCATGGTATAGTATGTTTGAAAAAATGCAGGAATGTTGCTAGCACTGACCAATCCTGAGAAATGTCACATAGGTCTGGATTAGGAGTCCTGTAGCTCAGTGGTTAGAGCACTCGCTTTGCAAGCGAGAGACCCGAGTTCAATTCCAGGCAGAGTGAAACCTTGGGCAAGTTTCCTTACTCCACACGCCTAATAATAATCCCTCCAAAAACAATAACAAATTGGTGATTTTCAATCTACGACTGTTTGTGGGACATTGCTGTGCACAATTGGCTGCCGCGTTCGCCCACAAATATACAGTCAATTCACTTTACGTCCTTTGGGACGTCCTCCCAACATGAAAAGCGCTATATCAAATGGAAGGATTATTATTATTATCTTCGACTGTGCCTTTGGTCTCTCTGCCTTCCCTCACCCCTACACCACCCCTCCCCCATGCTCGGGCACTGACACCTGACCGTTCAGCGCTTTGGGACGTCCTCCCGACTTGAAAGGTGCTCTATAAATGTAATTTTGTTGTTGTAGAAGCATTGTATGAAATGCTGTCAGCCTTTCACAATAGCGAATGGGCAGAATTAGCCGTGCCTCTCATTGAGAGTTGTGGTTGAAAAATACTAGTCAGAAAACTAGCAGCAAGGATAACTCCAAATCAACAGTAGTTTGCTTTTGTTGGTTCAGCCACAAATTTGAACACACAGCGGATGTGGCCCCAAACACATTGTTAATAATCAAGGTTCAAACAAGCGCTAATGTACCACATTAGCAGCAGGTTGTGGGATGTGAAGGTGACTGGAGTGAAGCAGAGTGTCCTGACCAGGTCTGATCCTTTGAGTCTTACATCTGTGACAGTCATGGAAAGAGCAGCTAATTGAAGTAAATCCCCAGGATTTGGTTTTAAAGTAGCATTAACCTTGAATGACCTTTGTTGGAAAGAATCTCTTTACTGTCAGTGTTACTAATTAAACCATGTGACGTTTTTAAAGCCTTAATCTATGTGTTCATCTCTCACGTCGGGACTTGAACTCACATCATCTAAGATGACACTCTAGCACCTGGGGTGGGGTTGGATTGTCGGACATGCCGTCCTTTGGAATAGGTATTAAAACTGAGGTCCCATCTGCTTGTTCAGTTGGACGTTAAGGATAATATTAATAATAATAATCGTTGCATTTGATGTAGTGTCTTATCGCGTCTTCGCGACGTCTCAAAGTATTTTACAGAATATACTGTAAAGTGAATTGACTGTATATTTTGTGGGCAAAATGCAGCAGCCAATTACGCACAGCAATGTCCCACAAACAGTCAAAAATATAGTGACCAAATTATATTATTTTATTTATTTATTTTTGAAGGAATCATTACCACCAGAAAAGCAATCCACCAATCAATTAACAACTGGGTTCCTACTTAACGCTAGGTAAACAGGCGTGTGGAGTAATGAAACTTGTCCAACATTTCGCCCTGTTGGGAATTGAACCCAGGCGAGTGTTTGCGAGGCGAGTGCTCTAACTACTAAGATGCAAGATCCCATGGCACTATTCAAAAAGAGAAGGAAGTTTCTCCCAATGTCCTGGCCAACAATCCTCTAAATAAAATTGGTCACTTGGTTCATGGTTGTTTGTGGGACATTGCCGTGCACAATTGTGCTGCCCCATTTGCCTACAAATACGGTCACTAATTTTGCAGTAAATCCCGTTAAGCGTTTTGAAATGTCATTCCGAAGTGATAAGGCGCTATACCAAATGCAAGGATTATTATTATAAATGGTTCACTAATATTTAATTTAGTTTTGAAACAAAGATCCCAGGTCCTGAAAGTCTCTATCCTTCGAGAGAGGAACTGTTGAGTCATCGGCAGATTCTGAGCATTATAGTAATAAGAAAATGATAGGAATCTGATAGTTTATAAACTAAAGCGACAGTTCAAACTGCCTGACTGATTCTCTTTGTACAACAGGAGTCCTCAGGTTCAAGCTACCAAGGCTGCAGCTGGTACTAAGAAGTTTGATCTCAGCAAATGGAAATATGCTGAACTCCGAGATGCCATCAACACCTCTTGTGGTAAGCAGCCACACAGTGTAACACACTTCAATATCTTTAAGCTTTAACTCCTGGCATCAGGTTATTCTAATATGGGTTACAGAATGCTGGATATAAATCTTCCTGGGGAAGAAGCCACATAATAAAGGATATCTTAGCCAAAAAGTTTCTCCTTAACAATCACTCAAGTGGGTAAAGCACAAACTCGCCTTACAGATCAAATTTCATTAAAGTTGCATTGAAAACTCCATCGAGAGCAAGATTTTTATCGAGCACTGGACTAATTGATTGTGGCTGTATTGATTTGTGCTGTGTTACTGCAGATATTGAACTGTTGGCAGCCTGCAGAGAGGAGTTTCACCGGCGGTTGAAGGTTTACCATGCCTGGAAGTCTAAGAACAAAAAACGCAATGCTGATGCAGATCAGCGGGCTCCCAAGTCAGTTACAGATTATGGTAAGCACACAATTGACTGAAATATTAAAAATGGAGAGAGTTTTAAGCGATGTATTCATTTATATTTATATCAGATGCTTTATTAACTGAAGCAATTTCTGATCAATAGTTTGCAAATTTCCAGTGATAAGACCCACTTACACTCTGCTCCCTGTGCCATTCCTTCCACTTCGCTGTGTTGCCCATCCCTGTCAGCACTTCTGTTTTGGGGTTTGTGTTCTTACTGTGCCACAGAGCAAGATTGGCAGTGCGACTGGGTGTGACCCAGTCAATGATAAATTATATACAAAATATAGTCAATTCACTTTACAGTATATTCTGTGAAGTGCTTTGAGGCATCTCAAAGACGTGATAAGGCCCTTTATCAAATGCAAGGATTATTATTATATTAGTAGGAAGAACGTCAGAAGGAAGAATGAAGAATGAGAATTTCTTTGAATTAGCACAAGGAAAGAGAGGTGATCGGTGGCCAGGCTTTCAGCCTCACTGCCCCTACACTCTGGAACTCCATCCCACGGTCCCTCCGCCTCGCTTCCTCCCTTGCCTCCTTCAAGGGCGGTCTCAAGACCCTTCTCGTCGATCGTGCCTTTGGTCGCCCTCCCACCTCTCTGCCTTCCCTCACCCCTACACCCCCCCTCCCCCATGCTCGGGCCCCGACACCTGACTGTTCAGCGCTTTGGGACGTCCTCCTGACGTGAAAGGCGCTCTATAAATGTAATTTTGTTGTTGTTGTGATGAATGAGGCTGATCATGGGGAGAGAAATTGCGGGCTGTGCTCACATTTTTCAGGAGTCACAAGGGAAGATAGCCGGAATTAATCAAGGTGCAGCTAAGAAAACATGGTTGAACGTGTTCTGGAATGGCCAGGGGTCTGATCAGGATTGGTACAATCCAGTTCTGTAGACAGCAGAAAGGACAGAGTGAAATGTTTACTAGAGTAGAGGAAAAGCATAATTGGTACATAACAAAAAAAAGTGACAGTATCCTATTTGCTGTGTACATACATTTCATATTGATGATCAGCCTAATGGGATTTGAGTGCCGCACCATCTCCAGGTCACGGTTTGATTACAGTCACACATTTTATGTACACTATTCAGATGGTCACCTGTGACCTACATGTTTCACTAACAGCTCAGCAGAATCCAACCCAGTTACAACCCCGGCAGCAGGAGATCAGTCAGAATCGTGCTCAGCGCTACTTCCGGATCCCATTCATCCGCCCTGCCGACCAGTACAAGGAGCCCCAGAACAAGAAGAAAGGCTGGTGGTACGCCCACTTTGACGGGTCGTGGATCGCGCGGCAGATGGAACTGCACCCAGACAAGCCACCCATCCTGCTGGTAGCTGGTAGGTGTTCTGAGGAGCAAGCGGACAAGTCCGTTCACGTTTGTGCATTGTAAAAGCACAGTGTTCCAAGCTCTGTACTAAGTGGGGATGGTTCCAAGTCAAACACTAAGGGACCGATTTTGCAGTATTTTTAAATGATTTCTTAATGGAGAATTGACTACATGTGGAAATGGCAGGTCGGCTCCATCTGTTTCCCAGCCGGGCTCCCGTGAGTCCATGCGTTGTGCATGATGTATTTTCCGTGACCCACTTCCATTTCTTAGTTGAGAAATCCAGTTAAGAAATACTGGAAAAATTGACACAATTCTGCGAGAAAGGGTATTGAATCCTGCGTTCTACTACACAATTACTTGAAGAAGCTCCGACTATGTTGAGGCTGGGTTCCAAGGCAACCAGGACAGCACAGAGAGAGTACCATCTGCCTGCGTTGTCTTGAAGTCGTCATTTATGAAACTCTTCCCCCCGTGAATGGAGAAGGCAGTGTGGAGAAATGGCATTGCTTGGCTCTATGGACAGGATGAGCTGTATAGAGACAGCAGAGTCTCCTGGTTTCTGCTACAGCCAGAGTTGGAGATGCCATCAACAGCAATATTGTCAGCTAAATACAGCAGAAGGTGTTGCATGGGACCGGGCAGGGGTTGATGTAATTGACAATATCACGTTTCCCTTGACCAGGCCATTAATGTGATTAGAACTTTTCAGCTTTGAATTTTTCAGAACAAAAGAATCTTTTGGGCACCTGGGAACCAGAATTATTTTTTCAAAGTTTTAACCTTGAAGTCATTGCCTTTATTTGGAAAACTTTTCTTTTTAAGAATTATGGAAGGTGATTTCTAAATTAAGACTGAATTGAAGAAATGTGCACAGTTCTGCTCAGTCTTAAATTTTAAGACGGTGGGTTTAAGACCAGAAGAAATTTTGGGTTCCAGTTCCCTCTACGATCCTAATTACACAATTTTATGTATAATTCTCTGCTCTAATGTGCTCTTTCTGCAATCAAAAGGAATGTTTCTAATTCATCCTTTACGGTGCATTTTAGGAAAGGATGACATGGAGATGTGTGAGCTTAACCTGGAAGAGACCGGTCTGACTCGGAAGCGCGGAGCTGAGATTTTGGCCCGGCAGTTTGAGGAGATCTGGGAGCGTTGTGGTGGAGTGACGTACCTGCGGAACGCCATCGAGAGCAAACAGGCCCGGCCAACGTATGCCACAGCCATGCTCCAGACCTTCCCAATGTAGAGCCCAATAGTTTACAAAGCAACTAGAGTTGGTGGTGTAGAAAATCCTTGTAAATGGAACAAAGGGAAGAATATTTTATTCCCTATCAAATATCCCCCCGGAGCTTGAGATAAATAGTTTATTGGCTTGAGAATCTATTGGCACATCACTAACAAATGAAACCAGATTAGCAAAACTTTATTTTCAGAAATAATGGATTGGTTGGTAAATGTATAAATAATTTATAGCTTTAATATCCGTGGCAGATTAAAAATTCAGCTGATTCTACTATTGACTCGGATTGAACGATTTTGCCGTAAAAAGGCACATTAACAGTTATAATGACATACACCTATTGCACTATTGTTCACCCAAATGTGCATCGTATAAGCTCCATTGCAGTGCAATAAACCACATATATTAGCTTTATACGTGATACTACACCTTTCAGAAACTGATAAGTATAACTATTCCAATGCAGTAAACATCTGGGGACCAATCCAAGGTATTACAGCAAAGTACTACAATTCAGCTTTATTTCAAGCCCCGGGGATTCAAATAAACATAATCATGTTGGAGCTATTTGACATGTATGGATTTCATTAATTGTAGGGATTTGTTTTGTTAATTTCTAATTTTGTGATGTTAAACTTGTGTAGTGAAGTCTTTTTTAAAATGCGCTCTGTGATAACTGGACATGCAGACCACATTACAAGCACAGTCTCTGCAGTAAAATAATTTAATGTCTTAAAACTGGAACTGTGAGGCCTTAGCACCAAGTATTCTCATTGGACCAAGCGGTTTCTGGTCCCGGTTGGTAACACACGTTAATAGTAGTAGAAAAGCTGCCAAGTATTTTGTCAGTCAATATCTTTGCTAGCTTTCCCTCTAGACAATACAGGAGATGATGTCTTGGTAAAAAGAAACTTTAATGATCTTCAGGGATTGTTTCAGAGCAAAAAGGAAGATGTTTTTACATGTAGATGTTCACTGCTTATCAGCTGATACTAGTATTTTTTTTCTTATACTTGCCAACAAGTATAAGCATCTCATGCTCGCTCATGCTCGCTCATTCTCTATTGCAGTCTCTTTTTCTTTTAGCTTCTCTCTCTTCCTCTCTCATGCTTTCGCTCATTTATCCTCTGCTCTCGCTCTCAAGCTTTCTATTATGCTCTCTTTCATGCTCTTGTCCCTGCAACTCAATGAAACACTTGCACAAGTTCTGTATGTTTTTCCCATTGCTGTTGGTAGTACCTTATTGCCCTTAAGGAATGTGGGCAATATAGGGCTGCAAGAAAAAAACCTCTCGGTAGCAAAAGTGTGGCAGGATCTGTGCAGCACAAGAAGGTGTTGAGAGAAAGGGATCGTATCGGACAAAGTAGGAGAGATGGTCTATCCCTGCACTGTGTGCCAACTGTGGTCGGATCTGATTAGTTTCTGTTTTGTTTGTCACGCATCATGTGTTATGTAGAACATTATCCCAGCCTGTGTTTGACAGATGTCCTACAAGTAACCGACTGCGGTGTGGAAACTGTTCACAGACTGGTTATTTATTTATGATTTCCAACTGTACGAGTGATCAGAATCCTCTAATAATCTGATCCCAAGTCCTTTCTTACAACCGTTGATATAATTTCTGGTATTTCCTGGACTAGTTGGATCACGTCCCTTGCAGGACCTGCACAGTTGTATCTTTTTTGATTTTGATTTGTCTCCAAAACACTGATTCTCAACTGATGTACTGATACTATACAGAAAATAAAATGCAAACCTTATCGTGCATTTGCCAGCTCTTATTTAAGAATCCTGATGATAGCATCATTGGAAAGGGTTCCCCCCACTCACTTCAAGCCTTGTATTCTCTCTGTTCAATCGACTGCATAGAACCACAGATCCACCTCTTAAGTCGCAAGGTTTGAAGATATAGCATTTCAAACATTTATGTTACATCACAGCCCAGTGAGATCTGAGTTACAGATGTGCTCAGAGATAAGTGGTACATTGTGCTCTTGAGATACAAGGCATCAATTCCCCACCACCACCCACCTCAAAGAGAATGTACACCTATGTATCCCATTGAAAGTGAATAGAGGTATAGATGTTTCCTTCAAACCAGCTTATTCAGATTGGTCCATGACTCTGTCTGGATCATCAGCAAGTCATGACTGGAAACAGTGACTAATATTAAAGTAGCTAATCCTCCCCTCCAAAATAATACCTTTTAATTAAAGAAATAATCACAGTTGAATAATGTTCACAGGCTGAGTTGTAATCACAAAAGCCATTATTCCCGGCACAGACACGATGGCTGAATGTTGGGCTGAATGGCCTTCTGTGCTGACAATTTCAACGGTTTCAATATTCAAAAAATAATCCATATACAAGTTAAGAATAGGAAAAATAATAACATTAAAGAAATGGTGCAAGGAATGCAGATCTATTGGTATTTTGACAGTATTTTATTTTCTCTTAAATACAAAAAGAGTTGATATGCGCTAGTGTAGTTGACAACTCACTTGCTTTAACAGATTAGATAACAGCATGAATTTGTTTTTTAAATTACAACATAACTATTTTTCAGAATGGTATTGGAAATTAAATAATGTATGCAATTTATTATCAGAGCCATAGAGACTATTAGAAAAGAGAGCAGCCAAGGGCATTTCTGGAAATACACTCTAATCAGAAGTCCTACCTGGAATGTATGTGTTTCCTCTTAGACATCGCAGCATAATGTGCACTCTGCACACTCCCATCTATTTTATAATTTCAGTTAAAAGTAGATTCACACTGGATAAGAGAATAAACCTTTACATATGCAGGATGGGTGGAGAGGTCTTTGTCATATACAATCTATGGAATATCCAATTGAGGAGGTAACAGAAATGCAGTGAATACTATACAAAATTCACATTTCAGCAGAGAAAGGCGCAGAGACACAGCATGAGATCAAGGACTGGCTCGGTGTACTTGGCAGTCAATTTATGGTTCAAGCTCAATCTGTTCTTCAGACCAACCAATGCAATGCATAAAATGGGGCTGGGCACGCAGCCACTCCAAAGCTGTGGGGAAAGGCCATGGTTCAAACGCCCTTTGTTTTCTACGACTCTGTAAAGAGGGAAAACTTAACAGGACACAGAAGCCATTGGAAGACTAACCTTTTACGTTGTCTCACCAATATGCCTAGATTAAGACATCTTGCACATACTGTTGTATGTACTTAGTGTCTTTTATATATTTTCAAGTATTATTCTCAAAGTAAGATCATTCTCTACTATTTAACAAAACATTAACATTGGATACTAAGATAAAATCAAATATTAAACAATGAAAAAAACCACTGATTCAACACTCTATAGCTCTGTCTGCTTATTTGGTGGCGCATAGCTTACTTTTGCTTAAAACTAAGTCCTTAGTTTTTCCAGAAATCCAAAGAAATCACATTGTTGGTAAAAGTTGAATGAACATTAATCTACACTTATGTCATAAAAAGTTATTGAAGCATCTCATGTTTGGCTCTAAAATTGTTTCTTAAAATGTCATAAATAGAAAATTCTAATCATGGATTTTTTCAAAAATGTGTATTTCAGCCCTTTCTCCATATATATTTATATTGCATGTACAGGGTGACCAAAAAGTCATGATACCATTACAATGTCTAATATGTCCTAAATAAATTAGGATTTTTTAGATACTAGGGTAGATATCACAACTTGTTAGTCACCCTCTACATATGTATATATATTTATATCTCAGATATAGCATTGCAGCACATGCTTGTGCAGTTATTACCAAAATACAGCAACGTACATAGAGAATAGGTGGAGTATATAATTGACTAAAGCAAAGCGTTGGATAGCTTCTTGGGTTAAAGCTGATCTTCAGAAATGGTTATTTCAACGGAACCTTCACTTTGCCACCTTGGGGGAAGATTCAAATTAGACTTTCTGTACTCCGGTGATTTCGGTAATTCCCAAAGCTGTGAATGAACAAATTAGTAGCATTTGATCACGTGGACAATAATTGCTAGATTTCTCTAATCACTTGAGTTGACTCCCGGAATTGGAAGAGAGAAACTGCTGGTAAGCACTTTTTTTAGAATCAGATAATAACAATAATAATAATAGTCTTTGCATTTGTTGCAGCGCCGTGGAGTCCTGTAGCTCAGTGGTTAGAGCACTCGCTTTGCAAGCGAGAGACCTGAGTTCAATTCCAGGCAGGGCGAAACCTTGGGCAAGTTTCCTTACTCCACACGCCTAATAATAATCCCTTCAAAAAACAAAACAATAATAAATTGGTCATTTTCAATCTATGACTGTTTGTGGGACATTGCTGTGCGCAATTGGCTGCCGCGTTCGCCCACAAATATACAGTCAACTCACTTTACAGCATATTCTGTGAAGCGCTTTGGGACGTCCTCCCGACGTGAAAAGCGCTATATCAAATGCAAGGATTATTATTATTATTATTATCATCACATTGTCAAGACATCTCAAAGCATTTCACAGGATATATTGTAAAGTCTAGTGACTGTTTTGTGAGCGAAACACAGCAGCCAATTGTGCACATCAGTGTCCCACTAACAGTCGTGGATTGACTGACCACATTATGATTATTATTAATATTATTGTTATATACACACACATTTGCAGGTAACATGTGTACGCGCACACATACAAATACACAGATATACTCACACACAACACACATTTACAGCATATTAAAGTGTTGTGACTATAATTGTAGGCAAAAGATGCTAACTAGCATTTGATGCAGAGGAATAACATAATTGTTTATGTGGATAAATAAAAGTAATGCACATGCACATGGAAATGATTCCAAGAGGGTCCATTAGTTGTTAGTTGTGGGTCACAATCATTCACTGCTGCAGTGAAGCTGTAGAAACATTTCAACGAATCCCTAATTGTACCTTCAAGGATATGCAATTATACAGCATTTTACACATAGGAAAATATCTGAGTGCTTTACAATGATGCAGTGAGAGCTCGAGCTGGGGGGTGGCAGAAATGGGGAAGGAGCTGGTCAAAGTGATGGGCCTTAAGATGAGTTTGGAAGGTTAAAAAGGAAGGGTGAGGCAGAGAGTAGCGGAAGAGTGCCTATCGGTGGGAAGGAGAGTATGAACAGATCCAGTAGGCCAGAGCTGATGGAGCAGAGTGAGTTGCAAAGTCATAGAAGCATTTAAGGAAAGGACAAAGATCTTAAAGGCAATCCACTGGGGAATTGGAAGCCAGGCAAGGATGGGGGTGATGGGGTCAGGGAGCCTTGTACAGAAGAGGATGTGGGTTGAAGAGTACTGGATGATCTGGAGCTTGTGGAGAGAGGAGCTGGGAAGCCAGCATGCAGGACAATCGGGTGTGTAGGTGACAAAGGTGTGGATGAAGGGTTCAGACACATTGGGGGTGAGGTATTGTTGGAGACAGTCAACCAGTGAAGGATAGGTGGACAAATTCTAATATTTTTGTTTTTGATTCCAAATTGTTTTTACTCTTCTATTGTTAGGAATGTGCTGGTCAGGGAAGGAATACTACTGTACAATCCATCTTCCTGGTCTTAATTTGTAATACAAAATCTTGGGGGAATTAACGAACAAAGCTTTACTGTTCCCTATGTCTCAGCTTCACAAAAGCACGACTGCTGTTTTCGGGACCTCATTTTTTATGTGGGAAATAAAACAAAACAATTATTCTTTTGGTTGGCAGTAAGAGATACAGAAAATAATGGAAACAAAGAAACTTTGCAAGATAATGTTAATGTAAAGATCTGTTACTAGACCTTACCTCTCTGTACTGTGGACAGTGTCCGAATCGAACAGTTTTCGACACTAGCTTGTTAGATCCGGATCTGTAAGGAGTTCTGGTAACCTGTGCAAATACAACATACAATGAGACACTTTCTCATCAGTATTACAACCCTTTTAACAGTGCAGGACAAACTAGAGTTCAATAGCTAACATTAGATATGATTTTAAATTGAAAAAGTAATGTTAGAACGAGAAAGAAATGTTCCAGAAGATATAAGCAACTATTTAGTCAACAGTTTATGGATATAGTTACTCAATGCCAGCCAGGTTTTTTTTATAAAAAAAATTACATGAGGAAATGTTACATCCCCATTGATGTCTCAACTATGACTTCCACAAAATGCTTTCAGAGTAAAGGAACCCTGCACACTATCACTTTGTTTTTGATGCTGTATTTGCCGTTACTGTCCGACAATTGTCATACTTACCCAAACCATATACAAACATCAGCGTGAATTCAACAGGTTCAGGAATGGGAGCTGCTTATTGACTATACGGGTTTATCTATTGAATTCTTCGCTCTACATTTGTATGTTAAGATGTCTTCAATACAAAGCCTCCTGACTGATACCAAACAGTCCGCTTTTGACATCCCTTGCATAACTTTGAAGAATAGAAGTAAAAGTGACTTCATACAGACGTCTATGCAAACCCACTTGGCTCCTGTCATGCAAACTCACTGCAGCCCCTCTGTAAATCCATCTCCTCCACCAGATCATAGGAGACTTAAGGTTCTAAATATCCCACACATGTCATGATCTCCACATTACACTGTTCACAGAGAATCAGACAAAGTGATTCCAGTCACAGAGAATAAACAGGAGTGATTTTAGTCACAAGGAATCAAGACAGGAGTGATTTCAGTCACACAGAAGTAACACAGAACAGAGCAAACAAGTAGATAGCAAAGTAATGCATTTTCTTTTTTTAAAAAGGTGTAATGAGCCATTGTTCTGCAAAG